CGTACAGGGCGACCAAGGCAGATTCAGTACCGTACCCGGGTCTGAAGCCGGACTGCAATGGGTCCAGATAATCAGTTTCATCCAAGAGTGCTTGGAGTTGTCCCGCCACCACCCGCTCTAACACCTTGCCCAGGAACGGGATAGTGGCCACCGGTCTATAATTGGTGGCCATCTCTGGATCCAGGGATGCCTGCTTCAGGACTGGCCGGACTACCGCTTCCTTTAAAGGGGCAGGTACCCGGCCGTCCCTTAGAGAGGCGTTGACAACCTCCAGGATCCAGGCCCCTATCCCGTGCTAGGCTTTGTTAAGTAGCCAAGATGGGCAAGGGTCCAATAAGCAGGTGATTGGACGTACTTGTCCAAACACCTTGTCCACATCATCAGACTGCAATAACTGAAACTAATTCAACAATTTAGGACCAGACGGCAACATTGGTTCCTCCCCTGAAGGCTCTGAGTTACTAGTGGAGTCCAGCTCGTGACGAATCTAAGCGATTTTCTCCTTAAAATGCTTAGCAAAGTCATCATATCGGGCCATCAAGGGCAGTACAGGATCTTTCTTAGGGCCCGGATGAACCAGCCCATGTACCACCCAAATAAGCTCCGCTGGACGGTGTTGTGAGGAGGCAATGGAAGTGGAAAAGAATTTCTTCTTTGCCGCCCTCACCGCCACAGCATAGGCTCAATAATGAGCTCTCAAGTGTGTTCGGTCAGATTCATCCTGTGATTTCCTCCACCTACGCTCTAGATGTCTACCAACCCACTTCATCGCCTGTAGTTCAGATGTGTACAAAGGCGAGGAACGGGCTCTGCCAGGCAGGAGAGGACACTTAGGAACGATCATGTCAATAGCCCTGGTCATTTCCCCATTCCATGGTTCGACCAGAGCCTCAGCAGGAGCACCAGCCTTATCAACCGGGAATTCCCCCAGAGCCTTCAGGAATCCATCCGGATCCATCTGGCTTCAGGGGCAGACCAACACAATAGGGTCCGCACCCTTGCAGAGGGAAAGGCCACTCTAGAGCTCAAACCTCACGAGGAAGTGGTCTGAGCATGACAGGGGAGTCAAACATAAATTCCTCACCCTCAGATCCCTTTCTTCCTGCCCCATTGAGAAAACCAGGTCCAGAGTGTGTCCACGTTCATGGGTCAGGCCGATGACATGTTGAGACAGCCCCATGGCCGTTACGGAGGCCATGAGGTCCTGAGCCACCCTGGTCAGACCAGTCTCAGCATGGAGATTGAAGTCCCCCAGGACCAACATCCTGGGGGTCTTCAACACCAGGTCCAAGACGATCTCCGTCAGCTCAGGCAGGGAATCTGTTGGGCAGAAGGGTGCACCAACAGAATCCCCGATCTGTCTCGGTCGCCCAACACCAAGTAGAGACCCTCTAAACCCGGCCTCGAGAGAACAGGAAGCCCCGTGAGGGAGATGGAAGCTTGGTAAACCAAAGCGACCCCCCCCCCTCCAATCCCCTCCAGGCGTGGTTGGTGCTGGACCAGATACCTGGGCGGGCACAGTTGAGAGAGGGAAACATCCCCCCCACTCACCCACCCAGGTCTCTGTGATGCAAGCCAGGTCGGCCCCCTCATCCACAATCAGATCGTGGATGAGGGATGATTTATTCTGGACCGACCTGGCATTAAACAACAATCATATGTACTAATCATATGCAAATGTGTATCCCCCCTTTTTGTTGATGCATACCCTCTTTTCAGCCAATGTGTAACTAGAAATCTTTTCCGTTAGCTGATGTGGCCAGGAGGATGGGTGTTGCCTGTTTATGTAGCATTCTATGAAGTATTATTATTATTATTTATTAAATATAGCAAAAGCCCCCAGTTATGGAATGTTAACGACATTGTAATTCTTCCCACATAACCCTACTTCAGCGTCAGTAAATAATCCGGTGCAGCCCATTGTCCCCTGAAGTGCAAAGCCGTACAAGGTTTTGCAGGATCAACCCAGCTCCCTGATGGGGAGGAACCGTCCTCGGCAGTGGTGTCACCACTGCGGTGAGAGTAGCATTTTCCTCAAGGCAGCTGTTACCTGCAGGGGGACACAAACGAGGGGGATTTCTTGGGTTCTTATGCGAGACATTCCTGCCCGGCCAGCTGGCCTTAGCATCAAGCAGGCTGGCCATGTCCCCAGTGGTACCATGAACCTGGAGGCAAGCGTGACCGGGAAGTCCCTGCATGGCTCCAAGGCCAGCCTGCCCGGGCTGTGCGGGACCTGCCTGGATACAAACAGACCAGCCGGTGTCTGTGCCGGGACCTTCAAGCCAACGGCCCCCTTTGTGCTACCGTGGCGTCAAAGCCGTGAAAGGCATCTGCACTTGTGCTCAAGGTCTTTGCTGAGACCCAGCCTATTCTCAAGAGTAATAAAGTCACATTCTCTCATCCCTGTTGTGCTTGGCTGGACTCATGCGCCCAGGCCGGACCCCTGGTGTCCTGCATTACTACCACAATTATGGATGGCGCCTGCCATGCAAGCTTTTCAAAAAACATGACCAAGTGCTGATATGTAGACATTGCATAAATGCTAGAAGAGCTGCCCTTCCTCCCGCAGGCAAGTCTTAGCAGTGGGAATTTTTGCCCACGCTGTTCAGCCAAGATGTGGCATGACTAATGCTGTCAGGTACCTGGTGTGATGCAGAATGCCCCCCCCCCATTGTTAAAGGTAGGGTGCCAGGACCCCCGAGGCCGAGTTGTGCCAGGGTGCGCAACCTGACCCTGCCCAGGGGCTGTGCCCACAAGTCCCATGATCCATCACCACTGGCTGTGGGCTCAGTCGTCCAAGCTAGCTGGGCCGCAGGAGAAGGAACTGAGACCTGCACTCCCCACCAAGTGCTTTTCCTTTCCTGCTCTCCTGCTACCTGATCTCTAGGTGGTGCCGTGCTACAGGAGAAGAGCACAACAATGTCGGCTGAAAAACAGCTTTCCTTTTGTTTGTGAAATAATACCCCATTTCCCCTGCTCTTAAAAAAATCTTGGGGAAGTACTCTCAAAAGCAGGAGCAAAACAGGAGGGCCATGACGTTGCCCAAAGAACCCTGAGGAGCTGTAAGTGCAGAATCGGGACGATGCCGCAAGTACTGTATGTAACAAAGCCCCTGGCCCTCCGCCATGGGCAGACAGCGGCACGTACCCGAAGGAAAAGACCAGATCACGGAGAGAGTGTGGAAGAGCCATAGCAATGCTGGGCAGCCCCGGGAGGAGCGCTGCTTTAAAACATCAGAACCGGACTGTGAGAAAAGAACAGCGCCTGCCTTGCACACACCCGGCGCATGCTCAGATGGGCAGAACCCTGCACAGCAGTCCCTCTTCCGCCCTGGGAGCGCGTGGGGCAGGCGAGCGTTCCCGCTGCAGGGGCCCTCCGAGTGGAGCGCCCTCTGGCTCCGGCTCCGCCCGGCTCGCTTCCCCCCACCGTATTAGCGGACGGCTTTGCAATATGGTACCTGGAGGCAGGCCTGTTGGCAGCCAAGGGGGGCCAAGGCGTCTGCAGCCGAGGCAGGGAAGAGGATGTGGGAAGAGTGCCAGGTGGCCTGGGAGGGCTGCCAGGCTGGCACAAACGCTGGTGCGGAGGAGAGCGAAAGGCACGCTCGGGCAGTGGCTCATTACAACACAAAAGCGGGCGGCCCTTGTCCTGCTTTGTGGATCAAAACATGATGAGGCGCGAGAGGGAGCTCTCCCCCGGGGCCGCCAACCCTCTCACAGCACCCCCAAGCACCACCGTGCAGCCCCGGCTGTCTCCAAATGCGAAGTGGTGGCGTTGGGGGAGAGCAGGACCAGGCGTCCGGCCTCCCCTGGCTCTACACACGCCCCCTGCACCTCGGGCAGCTGCGCCCTGCTCTGCTGGTGGGCTCCAGGCACAGCGAAGGAGCGAACAGCTTCAAGGGAGGGCTTTCGATGGGGGAAGCTGCGGAGGGCGGGACAGCTGAGGAGCCCTTCCTCAGATCTCCAGGGCCGAGCGAGCGAGCGAGCGAGTCTGCTGGCGCTGGCGCAGCTTCACAGTGTACGTGTGCATGGCACTGGCACGCCCTCGCTCGGGAAGCAGGCGGGGCTGCTTCAACGGGGAGTTTGATGGGAGGGCTGATCAGATGAGGGTTTTGCTGCCTTTTGTCTGCCTCAGTGCTCCAAGAGCAATTCTTTCCAGACGGCACAAAAGTGCCGTTTGATTCCAGGCCAAGTGTGCCTCTGCCTCCCCCAGGCTGTGCACAGAGAAGGCAAATATTACTCACGAGGGGCAGTGACACTGATAACATCCTGATGCTGCTTGTTGACCCTGCATGTAATCCTGTAAAGATGCCGCTTCAGAGCTGTGTCAGGCATTGCCCTGCCTGCCTGTCAAAAACGTGTCTGCATCATCTGAACGCACGGCATTTGAAGAGTGTGGGCCTTGACAGGCCAGGCTTTGCTCTCTCCTCTGGCAGGGAGGACTGTGGCCTGTACAAGCTCGTGCCTTCAGATATGACACAGTTGCTTATAGTGCAGGTGCGCTCTTCAAGATAAGGAGGTGGATAATGGTTCTGTCAGGACGTCCCAGTCGTCTCGCCAGGGGCCTCCACCAGCAGCCGGGGCCCCTCTTGGCCTGTGCAGCCCAGGCTATGCGAGGGGGAAGCAAACGGACGGGAGGAGGTGCAGCGCGGCTCCCCAGCCTGCTCCTCCGTCCTCTGCTCCTTCGCTGGCCCGGGAGACGGGGGCGTGTGGCACAGAGACACGACGGGGCCCCCGACAGCGTCCTCAGTGGAGCTGGGCTGCCTTGCCCCACGGGCCCTCTCTGGGGGCGGGGGTCCACCTCAGAGGGGAGCGCTCCACTCGGCATGGCTTGGGGATCCACGGGGCTGGCAGAGCATCCAGCCATGTCAGTGCACAGTGGCAGGGAGGAGTCTGAAGGTGGCAGGAAGCCTTTGGGTTTGTTCATGTCGTTTTTGAACCTTTTGTGGTCAAGCAAGTGCTGAGAACAAGCTGCTAGGGCTGTCTGAGTAGGGCAGGAAATCAGCAAGGAAGGTGGCAGGGGAGAGAAAGAGCGAGCGAAGGAGGATTTGTGCACCCCGGCGTGGATGGAGCCATCCGCACGCCCGGCAGAAAGCGACTGAGTGTGGAGTGTGATGCAGAATCACTTGCATCCCTTCCAGGCTTTGGGAACCCGAGAGGAGCCGGTTGCTGCCATCCTTGCTAGCAGGTAGGTGATGGAGCCGAGCAGGGCCTTGCCACGCGGGGCGTCAGCGAGAAGCAGGCCGAGCGCGTGCCTTAGCCTGCGGCCAGGGCTCCCCTTGTCTCCTACTCGCTCCGTTGGTGCGATTCCCTGTCGAGGCAGCTGCCCAGCTCCTTTTGGGTTGTACTTCTGAATGGGCAGTGAAACATTTTCTTCCTTCTCTGGGGAGACAAGCTTCCAGCGATAAGTGAATGGATTATTAACAAAGGCTATTGCCTGATGCTTACATTCTTTTGTGTGATGGCTTGATTGTTTTCTGTGGATGCATTTGTCTTTTAAAAATATTTTATGGCTGCTGTTAAGGGCCTTGAAAACAGGCTATAAACTAACAAAAAGGGGGGAGTTTAAAATAAGAAAGAATCACCCCCTTTCTACCTTTTAAGATATATACCTATAAGTATTTGTGCATTATGTGTATGTATATTTATGAAGCAAATGGAAATATTATAAAATGTATGGTGGTTAAACATAAAGTATCAGCTACATGATTGATAATGCTACATAAATCACAATAAAAAGACAACAGGGAAAATTACAAAGGAAGAGGATGGAAGAGGAGACAGAAAAGTAAGCTGCAGATTAGAGAAAGGTCTAACCAAATGGTAACACTTAATAGTTTCATCGAACTTCAGAGCTGCAACCTTATACTCCTTACCTGGAAGTCGGGTCCATGGGACTTAGTGGGCCTTTCTTCTCATAGTCTTCCTTGTGCTTTTGCTGCAAGGATGTTCAAAATACATCACTACGTTCCCTTTCTGCAGGCCTTGTGACCCCTCCACCCCAATCAGGCAGGCAGGGATTCCTCTGTCCTGTTGTGCTGCAGGTGGCAAAAGGGGTCTCCGGCCACTAACCGCACAACCTGGGGCATGTTTCTTGGAAGGAAGTCCCGTGTCCTCAGTAAGTCTTACTCAGAGGTAAATGACAAAAGATGACGGTCCCAAATAATCTGTGGCTGAGGCAAGATTGAATCTGGATGTTTCCTCTTGGCCGCTGCACCACACCAGGGCTAGGTAACCACTACACCCATCGGTCTGAAAAAAGCTCCCTTTTGACGTGTCCTTTAACACACCACCTGTGTATGAATTATTTAGAAACACAGAATGTAGAAACATAGAAACAGCGCGAGTCAGAAGGGTCTCCCGGGCCATCTAGTCTGACCCTCAGCTCCAGCCAGCTCTGCTCACGACATGCCCACCATGTGTAAGTCCAGCCTATCCGTGAACACCCTCACCAATGGGGCCTCACCCACCTCCCGGGGAAGCCCATTCCACACCCTCGGGGTCCTGACTGTCAGGAAGTGCTTCCTGGCACCCAAATGGAACCTTGGTTCCCTGAGCTTTGCTCCGTTGGAGCGGGTTCTGCCTTCCTCTTTAGGGGAGAACAGGTCTCTGCCCACCTCCATGTGACACCCCCTCACATACCTGTATGTTGCCAACAGATCCCCTCAGAGTCCCCTCTTCTCCAGGCTGCGATGACCCAGTTCCCTCAGTCTCACTTCAATTTCTGCTGCAGCATCTAACCACTTGTCCCCTCTTTAGATTCCCTCAGCTGATTCCTCTTATTAATATAACAAAACTGGAGTGAATTGCTCCCATCAGGTCCCTGGAACATCTCTGCCAGTTACGGGGTTTCGGTTCATGGTAAAGCGATGCAGGGATTGATTGTAGCCCTTCAGGTATCTGGAAGTGGCATTGCAGGGCCATCTCAGAAAACGCTTGCATGTGCGGCTACGTCTTGTTTTTATCTTTTCTTTAGAGTAGGCCCATCAAAATCAGGACCCTCAAATGAGAAGTAGGGCGCCATGGCCTGCACCCTCCTCTTACGTAAAGATGAACAGAAAATTTAGCTGCTAGAGGCACATTTGATGTGACCTCTGGTTCTGCCCAGGGAGAGGAATTGTCCGTGGCACATGCATCCTTTTGCTGTCGTTGCTGATACAGTTCATGTTTCCAACCATTTAGAAAAATCAGAATTTGAAATGCTTTAAAACTGAGCTATTTAAAGCAAACCAGGCAAAGCTGCCTGTCTCCCAGGACGGTTGTTGTGGGTATACTTTTTGTCTCAGCAAAGCGTAGGATTATCCCCATCCTCTGTTCCTTCCAGGCACGGGAATCTGGCAGGGTCAGTCGGGAGGCAGCAGTGACGGGGATGCTTGGAGTTCAGCCTGCTGCACAGCTGTCAAAGGCACTTGCCCTCGTCTCCGAAGGGTGTGAAAAGAGGGGCCATTTTGTTTCTCTTTCGCAATCTGCTGAGATCGCTTAAAGGGAAGTGACTTGAAATGCGCTCCTGTCTTCCCTCCTGCTCAGTTTCTTCATGACCCTCGTTGCACATGCCAGAAGGCAGGGCGCCATGTTGCATGGAAGTCCCTCTCCCACTTTCTGAAATGAAAGCAAAAGAAACAGTGGAGCAGAACAGAACAGAACAGAACAGAACAGAACAGAACAAATGCTCTAGGTTTAATCCATATATGGGAATTCTCCTCTGTGTCTGCATAAGCACCACAGACAATATGATTTGTGATATTTTAAAATTGTTCCTCCCCCAAATTACAGAATTTTCCAAGGAAGCATAACTGTTTTATTTAGTCAAGGGTGCTCACCCCCCTTTAAAGTCTGGTACAAAGACAAACATGGGAAGTCTTCTGCTTGTCCTCCACCACAACAAATACATCAATGCTAAACTATTTGCAGGGTGGGACTGACTCTTTAATAATTTCAGTTGCAAGGACTGAATTGATTACTGATGTAAATTCCCAGTGTAAAACAATAACACCACACTCCTGTGCCTGTCTACTCAGAAGTAAGTTCCACTGGGTTAAATGGGACTTATTCTCTGGCACACAGGTAAGGGATTACAGGCCACAGTCAGAACCATTGGTAACTTTCTGAAATGTACAGGATGGTTCCCAGCCTGCAATCTTGTTCTCCTCTGGAGGACTCGATCAATGAGTTCATCCACTCCAGTAGTAGTAGCCAGTGATTAAAAATACTTCGAATTTATATCCTCCTTAAGCACAGCAGAATGCTTTATATTTATTGATTCCTCTGGGTAGTCAACAAAGTCAGTTAATGAAATTATAAGCCATATTTTGACAAAACTGATGTTAGTGCTCGTTTGGTCCACTGGAGAAATCTTAAATCTGCATCCCACCCCACACACACACACATCCAGTAAAGTGACTCTTTATTTCTATTGCTCATTGGCCTAATTCTTCACAATCAAGACTTGCTGGGCTTGAGGAAAATACATGCAATATGTAACAGTGGTTTAGGATAATTTATTCATTTTCAAACTGCCTTACTTTCTCAATGCCACGTATAAAAAACCAAAATTGCTCTTGCTTCAGTCCCTGTATAATCAGTTTCCACCTGTATAACTTGCAATCCTGAATTTATGCAAGGAAGAAATTGGATATCCACTTGGAAGGAGCTTCACAGCCCCTGCTGAGCATTCCTCAGGTGGGGCTTTCTAGGTTCTCCTAGGCAAGGCTTTTAAAGCAGAGTTGCCAGGCTTCCTTCCAGGGGTGTGGAAGTCCAGGAGACAGGCCGCTTCCCCATCACCATGACCTGCTTCCTCGTCCCTGGAGCAAGGGAATGCCAGCCCAGAAGCCGAGTCTGTCGCGTCAAGAGCGGGGCTGGACAGGAGGCAAAAGCTGAGGGCTTCTACAAAACTGCTACCATCTGTGGAACGCTCTGCTTGCATGCTGAAAAAAGGTCAACTGAAATTCAATTGTCTAAATATGTCTATTCAATTATTGTATTGAAATAGTGTAACAACCAGGTAGGCTGGGCTTGTGCCTGCTGAGACTGAAGAAGGCCTGCAGCTCGCACATGCTGGCCAGGCCTTGTGGGCGCTGTAGGGCTTTTTCCTGCCGAAACATGCCCGGACGGCACCACAAGAAAAGGGCAGGCTGGCTGCTGGCGTGGACGGCCTTGGCCCCGCGGTGCCCCTCCGTGGCTCTGATGAGCACGAGGCGGCATCAGGCTGTTGTGTCCCACGGTTTTACAGATGAGACCAGAGACCAGTTGGTATTTTTAAGAGGAGTTTTTTTATTGCCTGCGCAGGGACCAGCACTCTCACACAAGGATGGGATGAGTGCCGGCCCCCCGTAGAGGGACAGCGGAGTTTTTATACCATGTTACAAACGAATGGAAAATTATTATTGGCAACCTAAGCGAGCTAGCATGATACAGAAGCGAGACAGTTTTGCGGTAGTTACGCCTTTGATAAACCTTGCCCATTTTCTGAAGTAACACTCTGTATATGCCTGGGGCAACTGATAAACCTCCTATTAGGCTATTTTAATACACAAAGCCTCCTATTATGCTAACTCAATACACAAAGCCTTCTATTATGCTAACTTTGTACACAACTGATATCATTCTATTATGCTAATCTTATGCCAGGTGGGTATAAGATTAGGCAGGGGACCCGCTCAGGCAGGGGACCCGCTCCACGCAGGAACGCCTCCTCACTATTACCCTTCCCCTCCCTGCCTTTTTGTCACCCAGTTTATTTCTCTAACTGGTCACTGAATTAGTGCTTTCAGAGATATCCAGCCTCTCCAGGGACATCACATTTCCACCATATTAAACTGCAATATATTGAAGCTGCGGAAATGGGATTTGCCCACGTTTGCTACCCTGTCCCAGGCAGTGCTGGAATGCTGCAGAGCCCCAGCCCCAGCCCCAGCCACCTGCTGGCTGCCCACCGCACCACCCGCCGTGGCCAAGGCGCTCTCCTTCTCTCCAGCCTCAGCCCCACCGTTCTGGAGACCTTCTGACCAGACTTTCTTGTGGAACCTTTTTGCCCTGGCTTGTTGCAGGCCCTCCTTGGCCGAACCGTGATCCGAACCGGGTTTTAAGCCCTGCCTGCTTTGGCCGCCTCATTTTGTCTTTGCAGAGATTATGGGTTGCTGCTGCAGTTCAGACTTTGATGATGACTGGGCTGAAAACATTGAAATCTGTGCTGAGTGCCACTACCCTATCGACCCGGCCACCAGGCCCCAGGTACGAAACCCTATTCTGTGCTCCGATTGCCTTCTCTCTGGAAGAACTGCATCCCTGCTCTGCTGAAGTGCGCACTCTTGCAAGAACTTCGCACCCACTCTTCCTGTTCTCCTCACTCTCGCAATGAGCTCGATCCGTCGCGGCCTCCGCAGCCTCTCCTCCAGCCTGCAGTGCAGCATGGCCAGTGCTCTCTTTAGCCACACTCTGACGTTCAGATGTGCCGCTGCATGTTGGTTTCCTGGGGGCGGGGGGGGGGGAGGATGCAGAGAGATGTGAACTCTGAATTGCCTAACCCACTTGTTAAAATGGGTTCCAGCAAATTCTTAATTCATTTCCCTTCCCCCACTTTTCATCCACATTAATTTCCACATTTCAGGAAGGTGTCAAGAAAGAAAAGATTAAAGTCTTGGGCTGGTGAGACGCTTAAGGCCACTGCTACCAAAAGCTGCTCAATACTGCCTTTGTTTCCTCTGCAGAGGCTGGCTCTGAATGGATCCCATCTGTCCGATCCTCTGATGCTTGGCGAGATACTCCCTCCTCCCAGCTCACCTCTTCAAGGTTAAAAATTTGCCTGTCCCCTCCTTCAGGGTGCAGAGGCTGCTGGGGTTCTGTTCCTCCGGGACCTCTGTGGCGTCTTGGGGCGGCGCTGGCAAACTGAGGGGCCAACGGGCACATCTAGGGCCTTGGCCAGGGCAAGGGGCACAGCTGGTGTGCCGGCAGCGAGCAGAGCTCTGCACCGGCGTGATCGCTGTCCTGGGAGCGGTGTGCTTGGGCATTCTTGGGGTGTGTCCATGGATCCCAAGAGGCAGCCCTCCCCTGGCATGCCTCAAACCAAGCACCCAACCTTGCTTTGAGCCAAATTTTTGGGGTGGCCTTTTTATTTATTTTCTACATGGATATGTTGCTTTTTATGTGAACATATTCAAAATGGTGTATTATGGATGTGAATTAGACAGAGATGAATAAAAGAAGATCAACATCTAAAAAGCCTGCTAAAATTAGATGGAAAGAGCATCAGAATAAGGCAAAACAGTTCAGCAACATCTACTGTATGAGGCTGAACAACCTCTTAAACAAGCAGGCCATGAGTGTTTTCCTTGAAACTGGAAGCAAAAGAGTCTGCCAGATCTTTTTATGCAGGGCATTCCACAGTTTTGGTGCCAATACTGAAAAGGCCCAGCAGCCCCCTGAGGACCATGGAGCCCTAAAAGGGGACCTTGGGGTGCTTGCAGCCTTCTCGGTCATTCGATGACGGGGTGGGTTTGGATGGTGCCTTAAGCCCAGGGAGGCTACTCGGGGCTTAAAGTTGCCTAGGGTTATCTCACTAGTCCAGAAGCATCTTTTGTTTTCTAGAGATGAGTTGCTTTTCCTTTTTAGATAAACTGGTGGTTGCTCTGTATGATTACGACTCAACCCATGAGGGAGACCTGGTGCTCCGAAAGGATGAACAATTGCGGATCCTGGAACAGTAAGTCTGTTTCCCCACAGGAATGCCACCGATGCGTCCGGGGCATCAGTCAGTGGGCTCTCCGTCCAGTGGCAGCCCAAGCCACCCTGTGTGTTGCATTCTGCACTGCACGGCTCCGCCAAAGATCCAGGTGACCACTGTTTTGTGAAGGAGCTCTGAACTGGGAACACTGGTAGCTGCCCTTTCCTGAACCGTCTGCTGGTCCAGCTAGCCCAGAATGATCTGCACTGGTTGGCAGCTTGAGGCAGGAATTTTTCCAGGCTGCTGCAGAGATGCCGGGAATGAGCAAACCTGGAACTTCTTGCATGCAAAGCTGCTAGTTTGCCATGGGGCCAGAGCCCCTTGTGTCTAGTTACAATTCCCAGAACTGTTTGGCTTGGACCCAGGACAATTAGGGCTATGCCAGATGGTGGGCTTTTAATAGGAGGGCTATGAATTGAAGATATCCACTGAAATGAGAGTTTGTTTGCACAATAAAGCCTTGTTTTGAAGAGTCCCTGAACAGGGTGGAAATCGGTTTAAAGGTGTATTGGGTGTTCAAATGCACAGGCTTAAGGGAGAGCCCTCCACAGCATCAAACCCTTGCTTCTTGCTTGTCTTTTCACATTCTCTAAGGCAGGTGGGTTGGGGATGAGGTGGAAGGGAGCTGATGCGTAACTCGTCCCTTCTAGGAATGGGGAGTGGTGGAAAGCCCAGTCCCTCGCCACCGGGCAAGTTGGCCTCATTCCATCCAACTTCGTTGCTAAGGTGAACACTCTGGAACAAGAGCCGTGAGTAGAACAGATTTTGTTTTTTTCCAGCTGAGCTGCATTAAACAGGGAATAAAGTGCGTGAAGCTGGCAGTATAAAGCTATGCACGTCTACTCAAAATTAAGTCTGACTGGGCTGGTTGGCCCAGCTGAACAGCTCGCAGTGGCTTATGCCCCCAGTAGCTTGTCATGCTGTGCAAACCCAGGGACCGCTGGCAACGCCCAGGTTGAACGGCCCTGCGACAAACCCTGTGCTAGGCAAGGGCTCCTTAGCTCTTGCAAGACTCTCAGCCTCCAGGTTCACGTGGCACAGTAAACAACGGCTGGGTGTCAAACGTTTAACATGGCTGTCCACACACACCAGCACATGCGCCAGCCTAGGTGTTTGGCTGTGCAAACTGCTTTATCAAATTCAGTGGGGTTTACACTGAATGCATATGGGATACCAGCCTTACAGCAGAATCCTATGCATGTTTACTCAGAAGTAAGTTTAGTGGCTTTTATTTCCGTAAGTAGGATAGGATTTCAGCTTTAGCAAATTAATTTGTAGAGTCAGTGTTCACATGCATAAACGCAACATTTCTGATGCACATGATTTTTTAAAAGATAATGAACTTATTTATTATGGAAGACATTATTCCAAAAGAGGCATTTCCTCATGTGTGAAGGAAAGATACAGGGGATCTATTTTTAATATGGCGCCTCCTGATATCTGCCATGTTCATCTCTACTTCCAACCTGGTGGGGGCATATTTTGTTTGACTGATGCTCTTTTAACGGAGTAAGCTGCTGCCTTGATTAAACCTTGCAGTCCCATTAACAGCAATTTGAATGTCCTGCTAGGTTATAGATACAGGGCTTTTGTTGCCATAGAACGCACCGGAACAGTGTTCCGGCACCTTTTTTTGATGGATTTTTCCAACCGATTTTTCCAAGTGATTTTGAATCGCCCTGTCGGGCGTAGCAGCTCGGTGGCAAAAATCATTAAAATAGTGCATGCGGGCTGCTTGTGCGTCCGCGGTGATTGTGAGGGCGCTGCTCGGCTTGGGATGCTGCTCGGCTTGGGATCGGTCGTGTGGTCACGCGCTGAGTGCTTCCTGCCGGTGGCAACCATTATGTTTATGTGTGTGTAGAGTGACTGGCTACATGCAAAAGGTAAATAAGTTCTTTATTTTAAAAAAAGTTGATGAATTGAAAATCTTTTTTAAATTTTTAGTGTAAAAGTGTGACCCCAAATTTAAAAATGAAAAAAAAAAAAAACTAATTACTTCTCAACCACTGGTCCTGCTAATAAGATTACCCTAAAAAAACCCTAAATAAAAGATTAACAAGATGTGAGTTCCCGCACTTTTTTTCTTTTTTCTTTTTTTTACAAAAAAAGTACTGATCAGACGTATGTTCAGTAAAGGAGCAGTCCTAGCACCCTTTGTGCCAAGAATTCGCTAGGCAGCTGAAGAGGCGGGACTCTGCAGGCAGAGCAACCTTGGCTCACTCCGCTCCCCAGGACTCACATTCAGTTTTATGGAACCCTGTAGGCAAACTCCCAGGGTACAGTGGAGTGGGAGCAAAGACAGCAGAGTCACCCAGGGCAGGTCTGCTTGCCACCCCATGACCTAGTGGCAGGGCCTGCCGTGGCAGGGGTGCCACAGAGGGCTACACTGCTTCTATCTATATATCTATCCGTTTATATTTAATAGTTCTGTACTGCCCTACCCCACAGACTCTGGGTGGTTTGCAAGCAATTTTGTGCTTTCAGTAGGGAAAGGGGATTCCTCAGCTCCTTGTCAAAGGAAAACCTTTAGACATAGTAACTGGACAAGTAGAAAAATAGCAGCTATCCAAAGAAACGTTCCTTGCACGTGGGGGCACGCCTGCTGCCTTGTCCCACGCTGATGTGCTCTGAATACAAGCAGCCTTGAGCTCTCAGGCTGGACTTCGCAGCCTTGCGTTGTCCCTTGAACATTCCAGGTTCTCTCTCCTCAGCGCGCACGGGGACAGTCTCGGTGCAACTTCGCATGGAACAAAGAGTTTTGCACCTGTGCATCTTTTGGTTTGCAAGTCACCGCTGTCTTCTTTTTTTGTGGCTGGGAACTGTTTTTCGAATATGTTGTTTATGAACGTGAAATATTACATTGAAGGATGACATACACGTTTTAAAATGAAATTAAAACAGAGCCCTTTGGAAATATGGTTACCTGCATCACAAAAGCTCTTGTTTTGCTAGATTTGCTTTCAATGAAGCAGGTTATTGTTGCATAAGGCAAGCCAGTGAAACAAAACTTTGTAAACTCTTTTAAAAGATGTTTTATTTTGAACGTATCAAACCAAACCAAACCAAACCAAACAGAAACGCAAAACCTAGAACCGGCATAATGCAACAGTGCACAGAGGACCGGGGGCCTGGACAGAAGTCCGAGACAGTGCCCCCCGCCAGAGCCATGTCCTTGTCCTCGTCCGTGCGGGTCCGCGCGCGTTCGGCGTGCCGGGGCGCCCCGCGCTAACCGCCGCCGTCTTGCTTCGCGCAGCTGGTTCTTCAAGGCCATCAGCAGGAAGGACGCGGAGCGGCAGCTCCTGGCCGCGGGCAACACGCAGGGCGCCTTCCTCGTGCGGGAGAGCGAATCCTCCAAAGGTAACTCGGCCGCCGGAGCTCCCCCTGCGCAGGCGGCGCGGAAGCGCGCGGGGAGGTTTCGGGGGAGGGGCCCGAGGGGCCCGGGGCCAGCCGAGGCTCAGGCGGCGGGACAGCGCTGGGGCCCCTTCGCGCCCCCTTGGCGGGCCGCGACCCCCGGCTGGCCCCGGGCGCGGCGGGCTCCGTCTCGGGACGCGCTGGAGCGACCCGGCCTGGCGCGCTCGGCCGGCCCGGGCGCTGCGCGCCAGACGAAGCCCTTTGCGCGCTGGCGGGGGGGGGGGGGGACTCGAGCCGGGGCGCGTCGGGGCGCGGGGAGCCTCCCATCAGCCGTCCTGGACTACGGCCAGGCATGAATCAGGTTGCGTCTCTTCATCGTCTTGAGCTTTGCAAGGGCAAAGGGATGGATCTACCCAATGGGAACGCAAGAGGCAGGTACCGCTGGCCTGCAGCGTAGCTCCTGCCTCCCCCGGCAGGCACTGTTAGCAAAATCGCTACCTTTCTAATAATATATTTGACCGATTGTTGTTGTTATGTGGTCTCCAACTTACGGCGACCCTATGAATGAAAGCCCTCCACATTGTCCTGCCCAGGACGCGCCCGGCAGCTCTTCCCAGCCTGTGCATATTTAGGCAGGGGGAAAGGACTCCGACTCCCAGCACATTCCAGCCAGCCACTGGCTGGACCTTGCTGGAAGCGGGAGGCCCTTTTTCTGCCGAAGCATCCAGAGCATCGTACCGTTGGATTTCTTCTTTGCAAGTTCACTGGCCGGAGCCCCCGTATGCAGAGGCAAAAGCAAGAGAGAGCTTCTGGAACACCTTGGTTGCATCAGTAAGCCGCTTTCCTCAGTCAGGCCAACTGCATTTGACGAGCTTTCTAAACATCTCTCGCCCGCCCGAGCCCTGGGAGTCTGTGCTTCTCTCCTGGTGAAAGGAAGGCTTGATCGCACGCAGCTGCAAAGCTGCTCCATCAGTGCTTTTGGTCACATGTAAACAGAAAGTGGAACGATTGCAAGCCCTTTGTGGCACTCTGTGAAAGTTTATGCAGTGGCGCCTTGGCTCAGGAACGTAGTCCATTCCATGACTCTGGCCCCATGCAAATTGGCCATGAGCCAAGTCAAATTTCCCCATGTAGTTCAATGTTAATAAGTTTACTCCATTCTGTAAATATTTTTTTTAATCACAGGGAAGACGGGCATGATCGTGGGTGCAGGGGGTGGGGGGGGGAGATGGGTGCAGTCGTCACCAGATGAGGAGTTCGCGACCTGAGTAAAATTTCTTCTTACAATTTTGTTCGCAATTTTGTCCGATTTTGTTGTGAACTGAAGCGTTCGTGAGCCGAGGGACCCCTGTATTCTAAACAGCTTATTACACTGGTCCCTGCAGTGACTGTACCATGGAGGCATGGAGTGGTGCAAGAACGCTCTGATCGCTGGAGGAGACTGACAAAGCGCATTCTGTATGGAAGCTTATGCCACAAGAGTGTTACTCCTTCAGGGTCCCAAAAGCTCTTTGTCATTTTAATTATAAGCAAATATGGCTGCATGTGCTGTTAAAAACATTCCAAAACTCAATTGAGCAATACTTCTTTTAGACCAAATATGGATTCTGGAACTCTTTCTCTTTCACGTCTTTAAAAAGGAATAGAAAGAATGTTGTGGTAATAATCAAAATCCGCAGCAAGAACCCTGTTTACTTAGCCTGAAATCCCGCTGAATCCAGTGCAACTTCCTCCTAATGACGCAAAGTCACTGGCCGCTCGCATGGGTCAGCCTGCAGAATAGGTGTCCCTTTCGCTGTTAAGCAAAGACGGCTGTTGCAATGGGCCAAGATGGCAGAGCGCGAGAGCAGAGCCTTCAGTCGAGTTGCCTAGGCAATGGACATCTCTGTGTTGGTCATACATCCCCCCAAGCACTGTTTTTAGAAACAGCGAAAAAGAAATTATGGTCTAATAAACTCTCTAAAACAATTTTAAAAGAACAATTCACCAGTTTTCCTTAATTTGGGGTAGAATCGTTGGTCTCAGCCAGTCCTTCCCTGTACACAGTCAGAAAACTCTCAGCACCCTTGCTAAACTGCACTTTTCAGGATCCACTGGATAAAGTCATCAAAAAGTTAGGCCTGACCATGCCACCTGCTTGTGCTGTGAGGGCCACACCACCTGGGCTTGGTCAGGACAAGAACCCACACACACACAAGTGCTGAGTTGGAATGAACTGCGAGTGCTTGTTGCGCTGCCCGGGCCACCTGCGCGCGCCAACCATAAAGAAAGCTTTGGGCTGGCTGCTGGGTCGTGCGCTGCATCGTGGTTGGTTATCTCCACAGGGCTCAGAAACCCGTGTGGCCGCAGAAGCCCCTGCTTCAGCCCACGCAGCCCACGCTCGTCTTTTGGGCGGCCTCTGCCCAGTCTCTGAGAGTGCCGCACAGTTCTGACGAATCGGTCAAAGCGTTTCCCCAAGAAGTTACCCTTGTTGGAGGCTCTGATTCTGTGGTGGCATCTGGGAGAAACATAGAAAGAGTTTGGAAAAGCCTAGCAGGGGTTTCTCACATATATGGGTGTAGCTCAGAGCCATGAATCTCTTTCTCTCTGGGGATCACTCCCTGCAAATAAATAATAAAGAGACAAATAAATAATCTCTGATACTATCCCACAACTTTAATTCTCTGAAGCTGATCTCCTCTCTTGGGACTCTGGCTAGACCACACATTACGCATATATTAAACACACTTCTAAAAATCACGTTTAAACTGGCCGACTTCATTCTGAAGGAAAAGCCCCCACTGGAGGCACTGACCTGGATTGCTTCCTTCTGCCCACCCTGCACGCTTTCCTGCACTTTCTTAGGTTGCGTTTATCCTCGGAGATGCTGCAGTTCTCCGTTAAGGCACAGCCCTCTGCATACTCATCACACAGAAAGAAAATCCAGAAGCTCCCAGTGTTTCCCTGCCAGGGTGGCTGCAGAGTGCTGGGAACTGTGGGACTTCTCTTTCTGTGTACACATGAGTAGGGCTGCGTGTTAAGAGACTCCCAGAGTGCAGGCAAGGGGGAAAGATCCAGGGCCAAAGGCAACAATTGGCAAGGCAGAGTTGGAATCCTACAAAAATATAAGCATTTTTCTATGTGGCAAGATACTTTTTTTGGTGGGGGGATCCAGCATCTCTTCTTAGAAGGGAACAAAGAAACAAGCAGGCTGTTTCTTCTTGGGTCTCATGTTTTCTCATGGGTCTCCTCAGGTTCCTACTCCCTCTCTGTGCGGGACTTTGACCAGAACCAGGGAGATGTTGTCAAGCACTATAAAGTCCGAAATATGGACAATGGTGGATTCTACATTTCTCCTCGCATCACTTTCGACAGCCTGCACAACCTGGTGGAACATTATACGTGTAAGACTAAAGATGGCGGTCAGGTGCCTCTCTCTGCCTGTGCCAGGCTTGTCTCGAGTCCACAAAAGCCAGAAACTTATTCATGGGGCCTTAAGCTGGCACAGGATTCTTTGTGGCTTTGGTGGCAAGAGGATAAGCCATAATTGTCACTTCCTGAAGTGACAGGGTCGCTGAAAGCAGGGAGAGGGCGACTCGGAGAGGCACGCATCCTTTTTGAGGTGACTTTTGGGTGAATCTGCTTTGATCCTCCTGGGGGGATCTGGCCTGCCTTTTGTGTGTGCCTTTACAGGGCCACCTGTGACCTGGATTTGGGGGCTTCCCTGTGATGCTGAGCTGAGGCATGGCCATCACTTTGGGGGCATCGTGGGCTCAGCCTGATGACCTTCCATTCCTCCCCAGTCCCAGGTTCTCTTATTGCAACCAGGTGACCCCTGGTTCTCTGCAATGCCCTTGTGCTTCATGTGAGCTGGTCTGTTTCTTCCCCGCTTTTCACAGACAACCTGGATGGGCTGTGCACCCGCCTGGGCAAACCCTGCCAGACCCAGAAGCCACAGAAGCCCTGGTGGCACGATGAGTGGGAGGTTCCTCGGGAGACTCTCAAGCTGGTGGAGAAACTGGGAGCAGGACAGTTCGGGGAAGTTTGGATGGGTAAGTGTGGTCGCAGTGGCAAAGCAAGGGGCGGGGGTCTTCCAGATTGTCTTCTACCCAACCCATGTGGACTTGAGCCAGTCAAGGAGCTCAGCTTTCACCTTTAAAATCCCCATAAGTTTCTCTCCCTTACGACCATGAAGATGAATTTAAAACATGTTAAATGAAGCATACCCCCCCACACACAGTTTCAGAGGTGGAAAGCTGGATGCTGTCGTGTGTGACAGGCATCCTGATGCTCCCACCGAGTCCCACTTGCTTCCCCTGCTTGCAGGATTACAAACTGCCAAAGCTGGCTTCCGCTAGCTTCACATTAAGCCGCCATTGCTGCTGGACCTTTAACGGAAAGGTTCCCACAACATGGCAGACCATGGTGGTTTCTCGCTCGGGAGGCACTCTCCTGTTGTCTGAGCCCTGTTGTATTTCAGCATGGCACATTTCATTTTTAGGACCCGCCGTAAGAAACAGTGGTTTGTTCTATGGTTCCCACATTTCATCATGGTTCCCACAGACCTGCCATGCAGCTACACAGAGGCCCCCGGAAAGAGCAGCTGCTGCAGGAGCTGCTCTGGCTACCCAGTGTGGGATTGGGTTTGCGGCGCAGTGACTGATAGGTTATGTGCCAACAGTGGGAGGACTAAGTGCGGAGGGTGGAAAGCCCACTAGTGTAGCAACCACTTGATTGTCTGTCAGGCACATCCAGGCAAAAAACCATGGAAACCCTGTTGCAGGTTGCTTGCTGTGACACTCAGCCGGTATGTCTGTGTGAGTATGTGATTCGATAAGACATGGGTCCTCAAACTACGACTCGGGGGCCGGATCTGGCCCGCCATGCCCATTTATCTGGCTCGCCATGCCCATTTGACCCCACTGCACGTGCGGGGGAGGCAGCGGTTCGCTCGCTCAGAGAAAACGATCTCCGAGCGAGCAAGCCACTGCCTCGTGCGCCCGCCTTGCGGTGCGTGCCTGCCCCCACCTGCGCCTCGTCTTGAAGTGCGCCCGCGCCTGCCCACACCTCCCCTCCCCTCACCGCACGCGTCGCCCCCGCGCTGGCGCCACCTTTCCGGACCACGCCGGCACCGGCTGCGTCCAGCTGGCCCCCCGCTGGGATCGCCCCCTTGACCTCCTTCAGAGGCCAGCCCCACTCTGCCTACAGAGAAAGGGCAGGCAAGTGCACCACACACAGCGCCTGCCGCTCCTTCTGGCCACCCCGCTGCTCGCTGGGCACCCTTTGGGCCAGGCAAGCAAGCAGGCAAGTGGCCGTGGCGAGAGGCCGGGGGCTCTGGCAGTCAGCGCCCCCCCCCCCGGCCTCAGCAGGTCCTGACGAGGCGGACTTCGGCCCTGGGCTGAGCTGCCGCTCCGTCCCTTGACAGGTTACTACAACGGGCACACAAAGGTGGCCATCAAGAGCCTGAAGCAGGGCAGCATGTCGCCGGAGGCCTTCCTGGCTGAAGCCAACCTGATGAAGAAGCTGCGGCACAAGCGGCTGGTGCGGCTCTACGCAGTGGTGACCCAGAAGCCCATGTACATCATCACGGAGTACATGGAGAAGGGTGAGCTGCGGGGCCCTTCCCTTGGCAAGCCGGGGCTTCTGGGCCTGTCTGGCCAGGCCCGGCCTCGTGTGGTGCTCCTTCTGGGGCCTCTTCTCGCCTCTCCTTGGAGGGATGGGAGGGGAAGGCATTTTCCTGAGTGGCTCCTGAGTTTACTCCCTTGGGGTCTGGCTGGTCACTGCATTTACTTAGAATAGAACGAGTGAACTGAAAGGTCTCAGAGCAGGTTCGGTAGCCACCCTGGCCATAACCAAAGCATTGTAAGCCTTCTAATATTGCATCACCCTCTTCTTGAATCTTCTGGGCCTCCATACGTGGGGGGTGGCGCTGAGGCACTGGGGGAGATGTGAAAAGGCCCCACCCCCTCAGTCCTCTTGCTGCTGGCCTCCCGCAGCACCCTGAAAAGCACCTGAAATTGCTTCCCTGGGCCCCATGATACACTAACGTCCAGCAGAAGCAGGAAGCGCCCCCTCGCCTGATCAAGGTGGGGTCAGCGGCTGTCCTTCCAAGGTCAGGAAATCATTCTTTGCAGAGAAAATGAATAGGATCATACCCCATCCCTTTCCAGGCAGCGTATGGCCTTTGCGTGTGAATTGCACCGAGCAATGACTATAATCTGTTGACTTGTGCAGGCTGCTGGGAGAATGGGATTATCCTTGGAGGTTATCTCAAAACTCCATTGCTTTTTGAATAAACTTTTGCCCAGGGCAGGCTTCTGTCCCCCAGCTCCTCTCCCCAGTCCCTCATCTCCCCCATTTCCATGAAGCTGCCCAATCCGCAGTTCGGTGTCTGCTGTCTCTTCCTGCACTACCCTGCCTGGTAGAAGAGCTCTTGGGCCGACTGCCGGCTCACCTGGAGGCTGCTCAGGCACCTCCTTCCAGACTGGAAGAATGCAAAACGGTTACTTAGACGACCTGGGAGAACTGGAGGGAGCCAGCAGGGTGTGGTGCCCAGGCGCGTGGGGCTGGGACTCGGGCGGCCTGGCTCTAGTCCCCGCTCAGGCATGGCACCCCCTGGGTAGCTTTGGGCCACTTGCAGGCCCTGAGTGCAGCCCACCTCTTGGGGCTGCTGTTGTGGGGATGAAAGATAGAGCAGCGCGAGGAGAATGGTGTCAGCTGCTCTGGGGAAGCTGTAAGAGAAAAGGCAGGGAATAAAGCTAATAAGTAATGAAGGGACTGTGGCCTCCCCGGTTTTCCCTGGGTGTTGGCAGCCCGAGCACAGCCCACCGCTTGGCTGCCCATGTGGACCCGCCCCACTGCTTCGCTGCCCTGCACCAGCCCAGCATCCCCGCTCGGGCAACCAGCCACCCGTGCTTACACCAGCCCTTCTGGTGCCCACCGAGAAGAATCCTGTGAGTGGATCATCACTCTCTGTGAGTATGTGATGGCCGACAGTTTACTGGACAACGCACAGGAAACGCCTGTTTGTTGCACCTGCTTGTGCAAACTGCAGGGTAGAGTGGAGGACAAGCACAATGGGGGTGGAGAGGAGGGGAATTAGGACAGTGGGGCAGAAAGCGCACTGGGCCTGCTGGGACGCACTGCAGAGCGGAGCACATTCTTCGTGGGGAGAGTCTTTCCGCCCTCCTTCCCGCTGCTGAGCCAGCCGAGTTATTTTGAACAGTTCCTCTGCATCGCCCTTTGCTCTGGATAATGGAGGGCAGCGCCTCGGCTTGCTAGATTTGGCACAGGGCAGTGGGGAAAGAGGAGGAAATGAGTGGCCATTGCAACACGGTTACAATGGAGTGCAGCGTGCCAGGATGTGAAAACCGCTTGGGGATTTGGGGGAAGCTTCCTGCCCCTTGAAGGCACGTGCTCTCCTGCATCGCGGCACCCTGGGCGGCTGTGGCAGAAGCGCTGCGGAGCCACGAGGTCTGCCTCCTGCTGTTGGTATAGTCAGCCGTTCACCACAACGAGATGCCCTTGGGATTGCAACCCAGAATAAAACCGCATCGCAGAATGGCTGCGGGGGCAATGAACACAGAACTGAATATACGTCGAGACGGGCCGAAGGGAAGGTCCGCTCCTTCCCCGCCCCATGCGGCGTGGCCCGAACTCCAGCCGGCACGCTGGATGCAGCCGCGGCAGCCGCCAAGCCGATGGCGGTCAGCAGGCCGCTTCCTGTGGCTTGGTACGGGCCGGCCACCCCTGCCTGGTGAGCGGCTTGCAAGGAAGGAGGGCGGCTGCCCCTCGCTCCTCGCACTGCGCACGGCTTGCCTGCCCCCTCGGGCTTCTCCCTGTGGGCACTTGGCGTGGGGCCCGACTAGGGCATGTGCTCAGCTGGGCCCTCCCAGGAGGAGGCTTGTGGGGCAGGGAGGGGCATCTTCCTCTGGCCCCTTCCTGGCGCCTCCCCTGCCCTGCCCTGCTTGTTGCCAGCAGTGCCAGCTCCAGCACAAGGGAAGTTCTCCTGCAGAAGCGCCCCGAAAAGAGCACCCGGTGAGCACCCTGCGCTCCTGCAGTGAGATGAGATGTCTCCCTTTGCTACCTCTTCAAAAGGACACGCCAGATCCACCGCCTCCCCTCTCACTTCCTGATTGTGTCATCTCTTAGGAAACAAGCTGCTTCCCTTGTGCTCCAGAAATGTTTAGCCCTGCCCCCAGGCATCGGAAGGGTTCCTGGGGCACTTTGCATACCCTCAGAGGCACTCAGAGCCACATGATTGCTTCACATATGTAAATGCATTTTTTTCTTCCCTGCCCCTGCAGGAAACTTGGTGGATTTCCTCAAAGCTGCTGAAGGCACCCAGCTGACCATTTTCAAACTGCTGGACATGTCTGCACAGGTGTGAACAAAGGAACGGGAGCAGGAGGGGGGCGGGTAATCAAACCTGGCAGGTTGAAGGAGGGGCAGCAATTGATGGGGAAACAGCCTATGGGGAGGTTGGTTGACTGACTGACTTTTCTACTGCCCAGTAGCCAAAGCACTCTGGGAATTCGCACAAAGGGGCCGGCCGAGTGGGTTGAAAGGGCTATTTTTCCAAAGTGGGGAAAAGTGCTGCTGTACAAAAGGGTGAGGCGAGGCTTCTGCCATCAACCCAGAAACTAGGAACAGGCCCATGTTGCAAATGCAGAACAGCTTAACCAGTGCATCTGATCTCTTCTCAACCCGGGAGATTGTCATTTTGTTCTTATTCCATTTGAGAGCGTTGAACCTGATGCCTTTCCCAACCTGAATGCCTCCGGATGTTTTGGACTACAGCTCCCAGCAGCCCCAGCCAGCATGGCCGGTGCTGGGATTGTAGTCTAACAGTACCTGGAGGCAGGCCGGGTTAGAAAATGCCTGGCCTCTCCCGGGGCTGCAGAGCTCTGAGCTCCACACAGGAAGTCTGGGCAACTAAAGCTACTGAAAACCACAGAGCCAGGTGGAAATGAAATAAACAAAATCGAGTTCGGCGGCTGTGAAAAGCTTGACGTACCTGCTGGGGGAAGGGGGGAGTAAAAGACGCATCCGTTGAATGAGCTGTGAAATCTAGAGCTGGGAGGTGTCTTAGAAGGCTGCCTGCCTTGTTGCACCCCCAGTAGCTGTAATTTAAGCTTTTGCTTACATTCCTCCCAGGGAGGAGGTCCCATTTCTTGCAAGGCAGGCCGTTTTACTCACTTGTGAAAGTTGCTCTAATGGTTGGTCAAAATCCACTCCCCTGCCATTTCTGTCGACTGGTTCTAGTCCTGCAAAGTCGATCTTGGCTTGCCATGCATTCATTTATTTTAAGGGTCTCTAGGCCTCCTTTTAGGGCCAAGCTCGCTCAAGGCAGCATATATAAAAGAATTAAAGCAACAGTATGCAATCGCATTAAATCACAATTTTTAAAATGTGTGATTTTCACCTGTGCCATGTGATGGTTAGTGTGGCCAAACACACACTGTCCTCTGGCAGAAATGTTGCGAAGATTGGTGGGGGCCACACTGCGGGAAGAAGGGTTGGATGAAAAGCTGTGAAAGCGACTTACAGCCCCATCCTTCTCTCCCACAAAGATAGCAGAAGGGATGGCTTTCCTGGAGAAGAAGAATTATATCCACCGGGATCTGCGAGCTGCAAACATCTTGGTATCAGAGACACTCTGCTGCAAGATTGCTGATTTTGGCCTGGCCCGGATTATAGAAGATGAGTACACAGCTCAAGAGGGTGGGTGGCCTTCTCCACATGCGTCCTGCCCGTTGATGCATGCCTGCTTGTGGGGAGTAGAGTGATGGGAAGGCCCTGGAATGCCCAGGCCGGCTGGCATCTCACGAGGTGGGGGGTGTACTTTAGGGCTCTCACCAGGGAAGGATGTCTGCTCCTGCCTTTTAAGATGCCCTCTGGGCAACACCACCCTTGCAAGTAAATCCACTCACTCAGTCTGTTCATTGTTAGGACTAAAACGAGACTGTAAATTTGGACTGCAGTCCAAATTTGGATTGCTGGATGATCAAGTTAATCTGGAAGGGTTTCTGACTCCTGCTTCTTTAACATTAGCAACAATAAACATTCCCCCCCTCTTCTTAAATCAGGCAGAAAGAATCCCTGCTCTGTGGTAGTTCAGATGTAGAGCTGTACTTGCATTATGTACATTTCGTACTTGCAGGTGTACGTTTCAAAGGTGTGGTAGGTAATTGTTCCCAGCCCTGAGCTAGTATTTTACATCTGGTTCTGCCCTCCCCACTTTTGCCAAGTCGGTGTCATAGAATCATAGCATAGTAGAGTTGAAAGGGGCCAGAGGGGCATCGGGCCCGACCCCTGCTCCGTGCAGGACCCCCAGGTAAGCAATCTAGCAACCCCCCCCCCCCCCGCCTCCAACACGTAGACTGTGCAAGGCTGGTGTCTGTGTGTGCCTGGCCTAAAAAGAGAACACCCGGCCCACCTTTTAAAGTTGCTCATGCTTTGCAGTCTGCACGATGCATCGCACACCACCGCACAGGCGCAGAGGCTGGTGCCTTGCTCCGCGGAGTCAGACCATGGGTCTGTCTAGCCCCTTCCTGGCAGCAGCTGCCCAGGCTGCAGGCAGGAATTCTTCTAAGCATTCCCTGGAAATGCTGCCGATGGAATCTGGGGACCTCTGCAGGCAAGGCCAGGGCTGGCCCGCTGAGCTGTGCCCCCCTTCCAGTGCAGTGTTTTCCCCAGGTGAAAGCAAGGACACTGGTGTCGCTTGCCCTTCCGTACGCGTGCGCATGCCCCACGCATTGCCAAAGGCTTCCCTTCCCTGCTGTCGCTCCATATCTGCTGTCCCCAGCCTGGTGCCTTCCAGCCATGTTGGACCGCAGCCTTCATAATGCCCAGCCAGGCCTGGCCAAATGGTGGGAGGTCAGGGTTAGAGACCCTCTTCCACCGCCTCAGCTGCAGCACGTCAGGACATCCGGTGCACCTCCTTGTTCACCAGCAGGCCCAGCCCCTCCAGCGCAGTGAGTGTGGCTAGTGAAAGGATTGCGGGGGGGGGGGTTGCACTGTCAGTGGATTTATTTGCATGGATGGTCTCATTGAAGCGCTCGCGTGTTTTCCTGCTGCTGTGCACACATCCGCCCAGTTCCTGGGAAGTGGATTCCGGGGAGGTGGTTGCGCATGCAGCCCTGAGCCTGGGTGGCTCCAGGGTTCGGTGGCCCACCCCTTTCCTGGCAGCCTCGCTCCTCCCGGCGCCTTGCAGCCCAGCAACCGAAAGCCGCAGCTGCTCTGGCGTGGCCATCACTCGGCGCAGCAGCCACCTCTGGCGGAAGCTGGAGGCCACAGGGGGCTGTGCTGTGCGTGTGAGCAAAGCGGTGTAAGCACATGCAGGCTGCGCTGGGGGCTGTGGTTCTGAGCCACAGCTGTGGCTCCGGCGGGGATTTTGTGTGCGGCGCTGCCTTACGGGCAAAGGGGAAGCCGTTCCCGTGCTTGGAATCTGCGCGCTCTGGTTGCATCACGGCCGCCGGCAGGCTCTTCCGGCAGTCCGCCTTTGGGCAGCTGTCAGAAAAGGCAGGGCAGGGGAACGCACCTCTGCTCGGCCTTTCTGGGGAGTTCAGACAGCCCCTTGACAGTAGAGCCCCCGCCCCCGCCCCCCGGGACCCTGCCAAGAAGGGGCTTGCTGTTTGGACCTGCACACATGTGCAAGTCCAACCAAAAATGGGGGTGGGAAAATGTCTTCCAATTAGGCAAAAAGGAAAAGGGGGAAGCAAAATGCTGAGAGCCCCTTCATTGTGCCACTTGTGCCGTGTCAGAGCAGGGATCATAAGAAGGGGTGTTCTTTGGAGAAAGAAAAAGCAGGGGAAGGGGGAAGGCAGCAGGGAATTCACAAAGGCCTTTGCTCACGGCGGGGGCCACTGGGCCGGTGACGGTCCCCGCCCAGTGCGGCTGGGCCTGGGGGTGGCTGGCGCCGGCAGTGGCCCAGGCCGCCCCAGCAGAACATGGTGGGGCAGCTAGCCGCTGCCTGCAGCCCATGCTGGGCAGGTGTCCTGGCACTGGGGAACGTGGCAGCCCATTGGAGTCCCAGGACTCCCGCAGCAAGCTGTGGCTGGGGATGGTCTGGTGCTCGAACAAGCCACATGGCCATCCTGTTGTGTGCGCTTCATGAAGAGCTGCATGGCGCTTTTCCATTGCTGCAAGCCACGTACTCCAAAGTGCACCGGGAGCCTTGGCTGACCGTGTGCCTACCACTTGCGTGGTCCAGGAAAAGGGGCCGCTGTCCTGCCGTAACTAGTGCTGGGTGGAGACAGAGCTCCTTCTGGTGGCCAGAGCAGCAAAGGTCGCCGGCTGGACTTGCCGGAAGAGTTTCTGTACTGTAAGCACAAGATCGACCCGTCCCTTCTTACGTATTTCAGGAGCAAAGTTCCCCATTAAATGGACAGCTCCAGAGGCCATTAATTACGGAACATTCACCATCAAATCAGATGTCTGGTCGTTCGGCATCCTGCTGACAGAAATCGTCACCTATGGCCGGATTCCTTACCCAGGTCAGAATTTCTCACCAACAAAACCATTTTTTCCAGATACAGAAAGTATCCTGTATCCACAGGGAGAGCCTGAATCACAGAGGCGAGCAGAGCTCCATGTAGCCCTGGAGCCGTGATCTTGGTTTTTAAAAGACTAAGACAATTAACTTCAGCGACCCAAAGCCACACCAGCCCCTGCTCTTTGGGGAGATCGAAGCCTGGAGGGCATTCATTCAGTACTGCTAAAAACGATACTCAAAAATAATCTACCACACTGAGTTTATTTCCTTAAACTGTTGCCTATGGAAGGCTAGCATAGAAAAAGCTAAAAGAGAGGCACAGCACAATATAGTGATGAAAGTCAAGCTAATCTTATACATCATCTTTGAAGTATAGCCAGAATTTGAGAGAATTGTAAGAGGAAGGGCTTGTAAGAGAAAGGAAATCCATTTGCTGCAGGACTGGTGCAAAACAGGAGGAGGAGGATACTATTTTTCCGCATCCTTCGGTATGTCTAAGTGAGCATCTAGTTCAGGGGACGGAGGACAGGGCCTGTGGTACGCAGGGCTCCAAGTCAGGGAACTTGCTGGAGAACGCTCGCTTTTCCTGCTGCCAGGGCTAGCCCTGGAGCTGTCCGGCATTTCCTGGGGGTGTGGGGCGATGCTTGTCTTGGCTCAGGCATGAGTCGTGCTGAAGGAGATCCACCATCCTTCTCAAAGGCTGCTCTGGGGCACCGCACCGGCCGCGCTCCTAGCCCGCAGGGTTCTGTCCCCTGTTCCGCCACTGGCTCTTAAGTGAGCCAGGCCTGATTCGCCACAGACCGGGCCAAGCCAGCGGGTGGGGCTCGTGGATGCAGCTGTGGCCCCGTGACTCCAGCACTGCATGCAGCAGGACGCAGCACCTTCGCCTTCACTGCGTTCACCTAGGGCTGGGCGTGAGCATGGGCATGGGCATTACCTGCCAGCAGTTCAGAGTGAGGGGTCACGGTGGGATGGGGTGGGGGCAGATGCCCGGATGGAGAAGCATCTCATGCAGCAGGATTTTTTTTTAACTGAGCACCAGTGATTTTTTGGGTTGGACTTCTGGCTCCCCTGCCACATGCATCTATTTCTTTCTCATATCTATATCCCACCATTTTCCTTCTCTAACCCTTCACCCCCCTCTAGGTACCAGTCCCTCCTTCAGGCAATTGGAGTGGGTGACCATGTCTCCCGCACCCCTTGCACCCCGTGCCCGCCTCCCTCTTCTCCAGCAGTGGCGTTGCTGCTCGGAACCCAGCGGGTTGTCTGTTCCAGGGGTGCCGTCGGCACAGAGACGGCCCAGGTTGAGCCCCACCCCCAGCCCACATCTTTCCCGCCGTCTCCCCCAGCTTTTCTAACAGTGCTTTGTGTCACGGCTGCAGGGATGAGCAACCCAGAGGTCATTCAGAATTTAGAGCGTGGCTACCGGATGCCGATGCCAGACAACTGTCCAGAAGAGCTGTACAAATTGATGCTGCAGTGCTGGAAGGACAGCCCGGAGGAGCGGCCCACTTTTGAGTACCTGAAAGGCGTCCTGGAGGACTTTTTCACTGCAACAGAAGGACAGTATGAGCAGCAGGTGTGAGCGGGGCCTCCAACAAGGGCCCTGGACAATGACAGGCTTTCCCTGCAAATGATAATAAACGCCGGACCCTCCTGAGAAAAGGACCACCACGAAGGCCTGGGACCCGACGGGAACCCTGTTCCTTGTGGCTTGGAAGCCTTCCTCCTAATCCTGATGATGCTGGGGAGGGATGGCACAGCAGGCGCCGGACACGTGTTTCTGACACTGGCTCACACATTCCAGGATGAAGGAACAGGTTCTGGGGCTAATCTCTAGCAAGCCATGGCTTAGAACAAGCCCTTGCCTTCCTCCTCCTGATCAACGCTTAATTTGTTCAAGGAAAAGGAGGGTCAGCCCTGTCAGGGGCCCTCACCTGGGTGTGAAGTGCTCTGACAATCAACCCAGCTCTGATGGCTTGCCAGATTATAATCTCAGAGTGGAGGCCTGGTCATGTTTTTGCAGAGGAGTGTGTGTGAGAGAGTGATGGTGCTAGAAAAGCAATTAACCAGTAGAAGAGTACTTATTAGTGAGAAGGCACTCTGTCCATGCACTGAGGCACTTGCTTCCTTGGGACCACCACATAACATGTTCCAGAACTAAGTACTGGCAATGGAAACAAACTCCAAGATGGTCCTGGACAAAGTCACTAGGAGCACTCCTGAAAATAGTACACAGCAAATATGGCCACTAAAGGCACAAGAAGCAGCCTATTTGCTCTGAATTCTTGGTTTAGCAGAGAAAAGATAACAAACTGCAGTGGCGTGTTTGCGTGTGCTGACTCGTGCTGAACCTGATTCCAAACCTGTGGCCGTGTCTCCCTCCGAGTGCGCAGAGCGCTGTCTCACAGTCTGTGGATGGGGGCAAAATGAGAGGGACCCAGGATTCATGGATCGGGGAGGGGAAACCGGCAGGGCTGCAAGAGGACAGCGAGTGTGGCGCAGGGGTCGGGGGTTGAAGCGGCATGTGCTGGGCAGCCTGTGCAGAGGGAAGGAGACCCTGCACGTGAGCTGGGTTTTCTCCACTCTGTATGTACTTGCTGTGCGCCAAATCCCCAGCCTGCTGTCTCACATGGAATCTGCCTTTCGCTTCCAGCTGAAATATATGCTGCTTTATATATGGATATACACCATTTTGCATTCCACAGAAATGTAGGTATTTTCTTGACTGAGCGATTTTAGAGATTTATTCCCCACCCTACAATAAAAGCCCTGGTGAGGTTGACCCAAGATCATTTTTCTTTGGTGTTTGCAGTGTGCAGAAGCAGACTCAAAGCAGCTCAGGTTCAGCAAGCTGTATCTTAATAAACTTCGGAGAAGCTGGGACCAAGCTTAAGTTTCTCTCCGTCCTTGCTGCGAAAGGCGCCGCCAGAAGACCGCGCTCGGCATCGCTGGTCTCGGGAACGGCGCGTCCCGCTGCGCCGCTCGCATCCTTTCCTGGGGAAGAACCGTGGGAATCCCCACCTTCCCTCGGGGGGGGGAGACCCGCGTAATTAAGCTACCCCCTCTCATAGAGTGAAAGGTACACGTGCACCCCCCTGTTTTTCCGAGAAGGAGAAGTGGTACAGTCCAGGCAACTCTTCGCTGCTCTATCTAGCTTGTTGTCGCGCTTCGTCCCGCCTCCGGGGCTTCTCATTGGCACTGGGTGGACCATCTGCACTTGTGATAGGCTGTCCAGGATAGGAGGGGCGGGGCGGGCTCTGAAGCGCCTCCCGGGCTGGCTCGGTTGCGTGGCGGGACTCGGGGTTCGGACGGAGGAGGCGTCGGCGGCGGAAAATGGCGCTGACTCAGGGGACCAAGCGGAAAGTCTGCTACTACTATGATGGTGGGCGAGGGGGCGCCGGGGGGCGGAAGTGGGGGCGAGGCGGAGGACCTTCAGGAGGAAGAGGAGGAAGGCTGGGGAAGGGGGGAAGGGGGGTGCGGGTCGGTCTTCTGTGATGGGGTGGGGGTGATGATGGGGGGCGGCGGGGTGGGGGTGTGCTACCTGCCCCTGCATGGTGGGGGCGAGCAGGGGGAGGGGCGGGAAAGTGGAGGAGGGGTAAGAGGCGGGGGTCTTTTGGGGGTCTTCGGCGTTCCTGGAGGCATTCGTGGCGCTCCTGCCCCGCCGCCCCTCCGGGCGACTGCAGGCCGGGTCTGCCCCCGCCGCCCCCCCGCCGCCACGTTCACAACAGCCCTGCGAGGTGGGGCGGCCGAGCATGAGCGTGACGGGCGCGCCGAGCGTCATGGCCGAGGGAGCGCTCCGCGGCCAGCCCGGGCGCGGCGCGGCAGTGCCCTGCCTCGGCCCTGGGAGGCCACGGGGACGGTGGCGGCGGCGGCGGCGGCGCTCGGGAGGGGACCAGCGCAGGGAAGTCCCTGGCGCGGCGGCTTGCGGCGGGATGGACGAGAGCGGCCGGACCGCGGACGCGCCGCGCTCCGGAGCGGCGTGCAGGTTCTCGCTCTCGCTCGGAGCGCTGCGGGGCTGGCGCGTGTGCGCTCGGGGGACGCGGGCTTGCACGGCGCGCTCCCGGCTGCTCGTGCAGCCCGGTCGCGCTTCCTCGGGCCCGTCGAGTGAGGCCGCGGCCGGGTACGGCCCCTGGGCCTTCTCTGCTCTCCGCGTTCTTGGCGGGCCGAAAGGAGGAAGTTAGACGGGCGCCCTCCTGGAGCCAGAGGGATGGACGCGCGGGCGAGGCGGCCCTGGGGAGACAGCGGGAAAGGGGGGCGAGGCGGCCCGACGATGGCTTGGGTAATAGAAGGTGCCTCGGGGGCGGCGTGCTGACGAGGGGACCGCGGAGAAGGCCCTGGCAGTGGCAGAGGGGGCTCCGGGGGAAGAGCACAGTGCAGGTGGCTCCCAGCAGGGCAAGGACGGATGATGGTAACAGCAGAGCCAGTGGATGCCATGCCCAGCCCCCTGGGAAAGTTGCCGGACCGTGCACGCTTTTTAGTCCATGTGTCGCACATACCTGTGCTAACTCTTAGGGAATATTTTCTCCCCAGGAAGAACTCCAGCACCCACAATTGTTTTTCAGTTTACCAAAGTATCCTCTCTAGGCTGCTTGGAAAGGGTTTTGGCTCACCTCAGGTGATGTGGAGAGAGCCTCTTTGCATGCCTGGGGTGGAGAAGAGGTAGAAAGAAGAGCAGTGAGTGACCTGGAAAAGCATGAGGGGCAAGTTGGGGGTGCAGCGAAGGAAGACACTCGGAGTGGCAGTGTAGGGGTGGATGCTTGGGGAAGGCAAGAAATGAGCAGTTCGTGTAGAGTAGAGATCAAAAAGCTCTCTGAGGGTCTTGGAAGAGGAGCGGGTGATGTGGTGTAGTGGTTGGAGTGATGGGCTTGGTTTCAGGAGATCTGGGTTCTAGTCCCCACTTTCCTGTGAGACTCACTGGGTGACTTTGGCCAGTCATTTGCTCTTGTTCTAATGTTCCTCACAGGTTTATCATGAAGGTAAAATGGAGAGGATGGGGATTATGTAAACAGCCTTGAGATTCTTGCATGAGGAAAAAAATGGCAGGATTAAATGCAATAGGTTGGCTAGAGAGCAGAAAGTTTGGTCTTAGGTACAGTAGGAAGCCCATGGGAAGTGGAAAAGGGCTTGCTGGTTTTACTAGCTCACCACCCCTGAAGATGCTGCTGCTTTTAAAAGCTGCTTCCATGTGGCAGGACTGGTTTTTCCCCCAAAAGGGCATCTGCCTTTTGTTTCCTCCTCAAAGCCATCAGGGTAGACTGAGGGGGCAGCTTTATGCGCATGGCAGGAGTGCACTATGTACTCACTGGGTGTGGTGAACAAGTGTGTGTGGGTATGTGTGCCCATGTGCTACCAGAGAGCTTGTCCAGGTACTAGCTTATCTCACCTGCAACTCGCATGATTTCTTTCTTGAGTAGGTGTGCTGCACAGTTTCTCCTTTCTGGAAGTTCTTACTGGAATCCCTTTGTCCTGTTTTCATCTACAAGTGCAACTGAATTTCAGTGCATGTACAGCACTGCCTCCTGCTGAGGCAAGCCATTGACTGGCAGCTTCTTCCCAGGAGGAGGTCTGCCTAGTGGAGACACTTTGAACAGGAGAAGCCTGTGATGGAACGTGGAACTTTTGGCATTGTTGCTGGACGGCTCCTCCAGCAGCTTTTGCTTGCATCCTTTCTCAAAATGTACTTTGTTTGCCATGCAATGTAGGCTTTCTCTTTCCCAATCTTTTCATGTCATCTCAGGCGACATTGGAAACTATTATTATGGTCAAGGTCACCCTATGAAGCCACACAGGATCAGGATGACTCACAACCTTCTTCTGAACTACGGCCTGTACAGAAAAATGGAAATCTATGTAAGTTTTGTTTTTAAAAAACACTAAAATATTTTTTTTTATTTTTGGTCAAGGAGTACCAAATATATCAACAAGGAGTACCAAATAAGAAACATTCTCAGTATGGCAAAAAAGCCTAGCTTACTTTTAGAAAATAAGCAACCCCTCCCGCTTCTTCAGTTAACCTTGTCCTAACACACTTCCCAAATAATTCTGTGTATTGGGGTCCAGGCTGCGCCTGTGGCGTGATCAGCATGGCCTTTTGGTGGGGCTGGAAGTCACGTGGGACCTGCAGCTGTGGAGGTCCAACAGGACAGTGCTCCCCCGCAGCGCTCTTAAACAATGGCTGCAGAAAGGCGGGTGAGGCATGCTGGAAGGAAGGACTGGGCTGAAATAGCTGCTGGGGAGCTGGGGCTAGCCCCCAAGGCTTTCTTCCGGCAGTTGGCAAGGTCGTGGCACAGCTTGTCTCCCAAGGGCCGGGGGAGCTGCGGGCACTCCTGCAGGCAAAGGGGTTAGGGCCTGCAAACCCCAGAGAACACATTTGGGTTGCACTCGCCAGTGGAATTATTTTATGAGAAGAAGCAGGCAAGAAATTCCAGTGGGCATAAGCACTTTCTGGCCTGTGCTGAGAAGTCCTCTTCAAGCTCCGAAAGTGCTTTGACACTTCCTGTTGGAGTAAACCTGCTCTGGGACTGCATGTGCTCAGCCCTGGAAGGGCTGGGATGTCCCGGCACAGGAGATTAGAATTGCATTTGACGTCACTGCCTGCCTTGACGGGGGCACCGGTTTCCCTGAGCCAGTCCAAAAATACATTCTCTGTCAAGCATGCAAACGTTGGTTGTACTTTTCTTAAAGCAGATAAATTCACATGTGTTACTAGCCTGTGATTTTCTGATCTGCTGTGCGGCCACTGAATATGAGTGTCAGAAATTTGTGGCACATGAAAACCCTGAAAAAAGAAACACATTTGTACCGAGTGCACATTTTTAACATTCCTGACTGCTTGCCATAAGGCGATCCTAATTCGCATGGGCATTTGTAGGTTTGCTTTTAAATATATTTTTCTTGAAACTTATCAGTAATAAACATCTAAAAAATGTGTTTTCTGAGCTTGATCGTATTGCACTTAGTGAGCTACCTGTTCTGCCCTGAAATCCTCGTTTCGTTTCTATTTCTCATAACTAAAACAGTCTCTTCTCCCTGTTGATCGGGCGCTTGAGCAAAATACCACTGGAAGGTTAGATAAACTGTGGTCAAATTTGGGCTCATTAGCAAAGTATTTCTTATTGCAGCGACCTTACAAAGCTAGCGCTGAAGAAATGACCAAATACCACAGCGACGACTACATCAAATTTCTGCGGTCAATTCGTCCAGATAACATGTCTGAATACAGCAAGCAGATGCAACGATGTAAGCCCTGAGTGTGTGTTTCTCATGTTTGCTGGATCAGTGGGAGCTTGGATACATTTGGGGTGGGGGTGTTCTTAGCTAAAAGGGAATGTTTCCCAAATACTAATCTCGTTTTTAGGACAAACAAAAAGTTTCAACAGAGATACAGAATATACCAGTATTGTTAAGTAGATGGAACCTGCAGCAGTGACGTTTCTTGCTGATGCTTTGCTGACACTTGTACCATAGTTCCTAAAACAATTAGGGATAATACTGACTTCCCACAGGATGATAAAAAGTGCCTTCAGAGGCAGCAACGGTTTGTGTCATCTAGCTAGGAGAATAAGTTGCAGCCTCCCTGATCATTTTATACTTTTATAGAATTGCTTAATTGACTTGAGCATTCAAGTTTCATGTGATTCCCCTAGCTGGTGAGTAACATGAACATTGATTCATACCTTCAGGTGCAGGAGTCTTTTGTGCCAATAATAAGCTTGAGCAAATGGAGCAACTTGGGACATTTTATATATGTCTCCGTATATTTTCTCACTTTGCAGCTTGTACCGCCTATGTCTAGATTGCGAATCATTTTGAAGTGGAAATCTTGTCTTCCCTCCATAGTTTTGAATGGTTCTGTCCAGTCTCTCTTTTGTTGTCCTCCAGTCATCCTCCAAGCTGCTTTCTTAACCTAGCCTCGATTGAAAGTTGTTCCATAGTTCTGAAGGCTTTGCCTCTCAGTCCTAGCAAGTTTATTCACTTCTTTTGATTAACCTGACCTTGTCAATGTTTTCTTTCTGCTCTCTTCCTCAAGTCAACGTTGGAGAAGATTGCCCTGTGTTTGATGGCTTGTTTGAGTTTTGCCAGCTTTCTACAGGAGGCTCTGTGGGTAAGTAACAGCTAAAGTCGAAGCAGATCTTGAACTTGAGTGAATAATCTGCAACTTGAGTGTGAAAAACAGCTCCCTTAAAAAAGCGAGCTCCTGTGCATATCTTCTCCGAGGTACCTTGCCGTTTACCATTCTGCTTCCTCCCTTCACACACCCGCCCCATAAGAAACCAGATCCTTCCATGGTGCTTCATGTGTTTGATGAAGTGGACTATGAGCCAAGACAGCTTACGCCAACATGAATGTGTTAGTCTTTAAGGTGCCACGGAATGCTTTGTTGTGTTGCTGCAATGGATTAATGTGGGCGCCCTTTGGGAATGGAGCATTATTGATACAGAGACAACCTGTAAGTCATTTGAAATCTCAACATGGCGAGAGAATGAAAGATCCTATCCTGTATCTTTTCTGCTCCAGATTTATGACTTGGTATTTGTATGTGGTTCATATTTCAAGGGACCAGATCAAAATCTTGAGTGACCAGAAATATGTGGGTTTTGACATGCTCGTGGCTGCAAACCAGTCTGCCGTGTGTGTTGCTCGCAGTTGTATCACGTTGTGGGGACTGAGTTGATTCTGTCTCTCATGCTTAGGCATCGTTGGCAGTGAATGTGGATTGGTGCGAGAAAGTCAAAAGTCTTATTCATGCCAGTGGAAACTTGTAATCAGCTTCCTTGAGAGCAAGGCAGATCCTAGAATGGCTGCAAGATCCTTGTGCTGCGATTCAGAAGTGTCAGAATGTATACTTTGTTCTGTGTTTTGAGGATTGTTCTGGCAAGTTTCTTAATACATAGCCATCCTGTGCCATCTCTTTGGTGTAACTGATATGCAAATCTGTTTCAGCCAGTGCAGTGAAGCTGAACAAGCAGCAGACGGACATTGCTGTGAACTGGGCGGGAGGCCTGCACCACGCCAAGAAGTCGGAAGCCTCGGGCTTCTGTTACGTCAACGACATCGTCCTGGCCATCTTGGAGTTGCTGAAGTATGTAGAACAAGGAGCTTGCTCCAGTCCTCTACTTGAGCTTCTTACCTCTGGGAGAGGGAACATCAGTGCCTCCCCCTCAAACTTGTATAAATGAAACCTCCTTGTAATGTCAGCTTTCTAAAAGTACTCCTTTTAGAACTTTTGTTCATGCAGACAGCAGGTTAGGCAATCACATGGTTTTGATGCTGGAAGACTTCAGACTTCAAGGGACAAGTGGTGTGATTGACAATTCCTGTACACAAAATTGCTACCTGAACAGGGAAAACTAAATGTCAAGGTGGGTGGAGCTTCGAGCCTAGCCTGGCCTGTGTTAATTCAAGGGCCCATCAGTAAAGCCCAGTGGCTGTGGGGACTGTGGACCCCAGAATCTTCTGGAGTCACTCCGGTCCCTCAGCTGACTTCTTGTTTCCTGAAAGCAGAATATTTGAAACTGCAGCAGTAGAACAAGCCTATCCAAAGGTTTAAATGTAAATATTTTCAGTCCTTTCCCCCTCTGATCTTTTGGAAATGCACTGTGGTCTTGGCTGTAGTGGGTGTGATTTGGGGCTGGGGGGCCTGACATTTCTTTTGTGGTCCCAGGTACCACCAGAGAGTGTTGTATGTCGACATAGACATTCACCATGGCGATGGTGTGGAGGAGGCTTTCTACACCACGGACCGTGTCATGACGGCGTCATTTCATAAGTATGGCGAATACTTCCCAGGAACAGGGGACCTGCGGGTGAGGACGGAGGCTAAGGTCACATCCTGGCCTGTGTTGTCTGCGGCATCTCTCATCCTAAAGCTGCTACGAAAGCGGGTGCTCCCTGCACTTCAGCTGCTTTGTACTGGTGGGCATGTCGTGAGCGGAACCAGTTGGAGCCGGGGGTCAGACTAGATGGCCCGGGAGGCCCCTTCTGACTCGCTCTATGTCTATGTTGCTATACTGCAAAGCAATTTACGCCTACATAGATCTCTTCTACCTGGCTTGAAAAGATCCTCACGAATGTGGGCACCACATTCTTCAGGTTGCTGTGATTGTTCAGGGGAGCAAGGTGTTGGTCAGAGCATACAGTGCTCCGAGGGCCAGTCTTCCTGGGCTTGTATCTTGGGCAGCACTCGATTATGAAATCTCAACATTGGAGCTTTGTGGAGAGGTTCTTGTGACCAAGAGGGGGAGCCATGTAACTTCTTGCCTTTCCCCTGTAACCAGCAGGTGTAAAAATATATACCTGCATGCAAAACGGCCAAAACAGCCAACCGGCGCACTTACGGAATGGACAGGACTCATTTAGATTAAGGCATTTGGTGTTGCTCTGATGTCCTCCCGTCACACGTGTAAAGGTGGACTGAACAGCGCACTGAAGCAAAATACACCTGCCCCTTTCCTAGGCTGTGTTGGGGTGAGGAAGTCCAGCTGAGAATGCGGGGGTCCTGACTGCAGGATTTTGGGGGTTCTTAGGCAGTGGGAGGGTGGTGATGCCGATGTGCAGCCCGGTCTTCTTGGGTTCTCTTTGTAAAGTGAGAGACCGGTGTGGTGGAGGCTGCAAGGCCTGTGGAGATGTTGGGGTCCAGGCAGATCCTGGGCTTCACCAATCTCTGTGGGGGCCCTGAAGTATTATTCCACAGTGCTTCATTCTTCTAGGATATTGGTGCAGGCAAAGGAAAATACTATGCAGTCAACTATCCACTTCGGGATGGGATTGACGACGAGTCCTATGAAGCCATCTTCAAACCAGTAAGCTTCCCTTTTGTCGAACCACAACATAACAGTGTTGGAAGGGCCTCTAAGCCTGTTGCGTCAGCCCCTTCCGAGATGAAGCACCGGCACTTTTGCCGCTGCTGCTGTGTCTTGCTGGGATGCTCCTGATCCCGTTGCCTGCCAGAGCTGTCGGGGCATGTCCGGTTGCCACGCCGGCTCCGGCACGTTCAGGGCTCTGCCTTTCGGGAAATGCTTCCCCTTGCGCCAGTGAAGGGGGTAGAGGGCTGCCCCTGGCTCCCTTGCGCATGTGGAGTTGTGGGGAGGCCGGGGCTCTGCAGTTGTGGTGAGCTCTGGGGGGGCTGGAGAGCGTGGCTTGTTGCGCACCTGGGCCTGGCAGCATCCAAACGAGCCCGTACTCTTCCCCACCTCGAAGGCCTGGGGCTGAGGCCTGGGCAGCGGCTTGTCCCAGGGCAAGGATTAACGCCACAGTCCTGTGCCTCCACGGGGATGAGCCCGGCTGAGGGTAACATGCTGCCATGTGAACATGTGCAGGGTTGCCCTGAAGGGGGCAGGTCCTGCCTGGGCTTGCTGCAGCGCCTTCCCACTCAGGTCTTTGATTGGATGCTGTTGTCCTCGGCCAGGTGATGTCCAAAGTCATGGAGACCTTCCAGCCCAGCGCTGTCGCGTTGCAGTGCGGCTCCGATTCCTTGTCAGGGGACAGGTTGGGTTGCTTTAATCTGACCATTAAAGGTAAGAGGGACTTCTTGCAGGTGGGCAGGGTGGGAGCCAACGTGTGCCTTGCCAAAGGTGCTTTGACCCTTGAAACCTGCCCCGCACAGTCTGCAGCAGTGCTTCAAAAGGGGCCAGAGACAAGTTTCAGATCTTGCGGAATGTGTGCGCGCTAAGGGCGCTTCCCCAGTGTTGTGTGTTGCCCCACGGAGCCCTTTCCAGCGCATGCCGCTTCCCTGGTGCTCCTCCAGGCTGTTCAAGGGCTTCTCAGGCTGCTGGTGTGGGCAGGCGTGCCGCCCCACGGCTCTCTCGCCAGCTTATTGTCTGCCTGAGAACTGCCCCCTATTTTCCGCTGCTCCCCAGGCCATGCCAAGTGCGTCGAATTCATCAAGAGCTTTAATTTGCCGATGCTGATGCTTGGAGGCGGTGGCTACACAATCCGCAACGTGGCCCGGTGCTGGACATACGAGACTGCAGTTGCACTAAATACGGAGATCCCAAATGGTAAAGCAGCACCCCTGCCTCGGCAGATTCCTGTAGGGTGAGCTCTTGAGAAGTGGAAGGTGCAGATAGACAGGTCTGCGTGCAGCGTGTGTGGGGGCTCGGCCCAGGCCCTAACCCCGCACCTGGCTGCCACGTGGCTTTGCAGCAGCAAAGCCAACTCCCGAAGCAGGTAATGGCATTTAAGCCGCACCGTGCCGATCCATTGCTGAGGCTAAGGGGATTGGGGCCCCGTAGGCTGCTAGAACGGAAGCCTCCAGGTAGCCACAGCCAGGCCTCCCTGAGTTCTTGGAGAAGGGGGCAGGCAGGGTACAGCCACACGTGCCATCAGTAGATGGTGCACTGCAGTGGTGTGCAGTTTCTGCACTGCCTCCGCCTCCCCAAGGTGGCCATTGCGGTACTTGGGATCGCTCTTGCGAACTCAGGGCAGGGCGTGGCCCCACACACGTCGAGAGGGGAGGATGGCCTGCAAGTCCCATCTCTGCTGGCTGGGACAAGCTGGAGGTTTCGGCCTCTTCTTCCCTGAGAGATGCAGAGATTGGCTCTTGGAGAGGCCTGTTTCATCCCGCTGCTGCCGTGGAAGAGGGAGCCCGGAAGGTGGGGGGGCTTCCCTGCGTGAACATTCTGTGGCTCCTCTTGGAGCAGCCCTGGAATGACCCTGCTGCAGGTGCCGCTCGGGGACATTTTGTGTGCTTTTAAAACTCTGCAGAGCTGCCATACAATGATTACTTTGAATACTTTGGACCAGACTTCAAGCTCCACATTAGCCCTTCCAACATGACTAACCAAAACACCAATGAATATCTGGAGAAGATCAAGTAAGTTGTGCTCGCTGCTTCGATGGGGCCGGCCCTCTAGGGCGCTGTGGGGCCAGGCCTGCCTGCCTGTCTTGGGCTGTCCCTTTCTGATTGCTCTCGGGGTCCCTGTGTCCGTTTCACTGTAGGCAGCGTCTCTTCGAGAACCTGCGGATGCTTCCTCATGCTCCGGGAGTCCAAATGCAGCCGATCCCAGAGGATGCCGTGCCAGAGGACAGTGGCGACGAAGATGAAGAAGATCCTGACAAGCGCATCTCGAGTGAGTGTCGGCGCCTCTGGGGATGGTGCTCTGCAGGAGGCTGCACGTATGTCCGTGCGCATCTCAGGCACTTACGAGAAGCAGCCTCTGGCCAAAGCTGGTCTGTGCAGTAGCAGCAACGCCCAGAAATAAGATTGTGTTCCTGAATAAAGGACTCTGTTACTTTTTGGCTGTTGGGACTCTTTCCCCCACAATTAGACATACAGCCCCAGCCTAGGAGAAGCTGCAGCTTCTGTTTTTTGTAGAATCCTTCATGCAGGTTAGGATTGTCTTGCCCTTCAACCATTGCAGGGTTGAAAAGTTCTGCCCTTGAACCCTCCCTGAATCACAGTATGTGTTTAAGTGACCTGGGCCGGTTAAAGGAGAAACTGGACACTTAGAAGGAAGAGTGGTGGTCTTTTAGGCCGAGGATTAGAGTCCAAAGGGCAGCCTGCATAGGCTGACCGAGATGTGCTGGTATACCAGAGGGCTGCTATTGGTTGGCAGCACACAAACTTGCCTGGACTGTACAGTTTTATTTACAAGCACGTGCTGGGTTGAAATAAAAGATAGGCTGGACATGCACATGGTGGGCATGTCGTGAGCGGAGCCAGCTGGAGCCGGGGGTCAGACTACATGGCCCGGGAGGCCCCTTCTGACTTGCTCTGTTTCTATGTTTCTTTGACATCTGAAAATGAATGTTCAGCAGCAGCTTTTCAGTCTTGTGCTTGTGGGGAGCAGGAAGGGCTGAGTACGATTGCTGCAAAGGGTGAGCTGGCCTGTGCCTTCTCCTTGCCGAATCTTCCAAGGACAGCCCACCTCTGCAGGGCCGGGATTTCCTTCATACGCTTGTGGCTTGGTTGGGCCACCTGGATGTCACAGGATCCAAGTCACAAGTATTGTAATGCTGATCCTTTTAAGTCAGGAATAGTATGTTGGGATTGGATGCAGCTGCTTGGTGTAAGGGGAGGTAAAAATTGGCTTGTCTGGGGGGAAGAGCCTTTTTTTGGACCAGTCCAGTGAGGATGGAGAAAAAGGACCCTACATGAGGATCGGTGAGGAAGGGCGCATGCTTGTGCACGTGTGTTGAGAGTGGGGGTGGGCAAGGGCGAGAGTCGTGCTGCCTGGGGCTATGGGTTCTCTGTGATCCTGGAGGAAGTTCCAGTCTCCCTGGCTGAATTTATATTCCGGAAGAGGCATGATGAGGGGGCTGAAGGCCTCCCATGGGTGGGGAAGGACAGAAGTGCTGTGGCCCCACAGTAGCTTCTTGGCAAATGCCGAATGAATTAAATGAACTAGTTAAAATGGAGAAATAAATTATGCAAAATAAGAAAACATGTAAGAAGGACTGATACACATTATTCAGCAGTAGTCACAGAACCCTGTTTTTCTTGAGAAAAATATTTCCGTTCCTTTTAGCACATACAGCCCACCAGCCTTGCAGGGCGAGTCACGCAAAGTCCTTGGTGCTTCTCTGTGTCCACACAAGCTAGGCTTGCTGGCACACGTTTAAATATTGCTTTTGAAACCCTTCCAGGCTGTCTGAAACCCAGATCCCAGCACTGCTGATGTACTTTGTCTCTGCTTCCTCTATAGTCCGCTCGTCAGACAAGAGAATAGCTTGCGATGAGGAATTCTCTGATTCTGAGGATGAAGGGGAAGGTGGGCGCAAAAATGCTGCCAATTTCAAGAAGGCCAAACGGGCAAAAACAGAAGAAGAGGAGAAGGAGGAAGAGAAAGAGAAGAAAGGTGGGTGGGGGGACTCAAAATTAAGTGCTACTTCATACATTTATTATTTTTCAGGTCCAAACCCCCTGCTGGAATCCTGGTCTATGCTTGTGACAAATAAGAAACTCCATTTGGTTTCTTTCACGGATCTCTGGTTATATTGGATCTGACCCACGTCCGTGTTTTTTTTAGCTCCAGCAATACTGCAGTGCTTCCAGGCCATGTTCCTGGGCCTGGAATACATTTTGAAAACCAGGTCTGAAGCGGAACCATGTAGAAGGCATTATTAAGTGCCTTTGAGCACATGCAGAGTACTTTCTCCCATTTATCAAAAGCCACTGATTAATATTCCCATCATCTGGTTTCTTATTGATTAAGGACGGTGGTTGTGCTGTGTCCCATTTTAGAAATAGCCGCCACCTGCTTCTTGCCAGCAGCCCCTGGTCTTCGAAAACCCAACTTGCATGAAATTGGCTTTAAGGATCCCAGTGTTCTTAATTATGCAAAGTGTGTCTTACTCTTCTTGTGGTGGCAGCAAGAGAAGCAAATTGGTCAATGTGGCTGGTCGCCCATTTCATGCAGGCTCCTTAATTGCATTCTTGATCCTAGGGTACCAGCAAGTGAAGCTTTTGTAATTCAATCATTTTACCCCCATTGTGCTGGAAAAAGAATAGCTTCTAGTGTGCTTAAGCCAGAAGTATGAACATTTGCATGTAACTCTGCAGAGGTTGAATTACTGATTTAATGTTTATCCCATCTTTAGAGCCAGGAGAACCCCCCATGGCAACTAGTTTTAAATAATAACATCAAGTTAAACTGCCAATCCTTAAAACAACTCTGATTAAAACATACTAGTAAAACTGTATCTTGCTTCAGGAGATCTTCAGGGATTCATTTTGCTGGTTATTAGTGCTTGGTCTTCAAAGCCTTTGTGGAACAGGAATATTTTGTCAGCTTCCTTAAAAGCTGGGGGAAAGGCACCTACGAGAGCAAGGAATCCTGCAGCAGGACAGGGCTGCCCCGGAATGTCACAACCCCGAGCGCCTGGAGCACGAGCCCAGCCAATGGCAGTGGCATTTGTGCTGTTGCAGGCCTTCCCTGGAGCCTTGCAACTGGGGCAAACCTTATTTGGAAGAGTCTTGTTATGGGTTTCTATTGTCATGCTCGTTAAATAGCTGCAAAATTTCTTCTAGTGTAACAATTCTTAAATATTAGTAAATAAGTCTGTAACTGAGAGGAAAAAAATCTCTTGCAGAAGTAAAAGAAGAAGAGAAGGCAAAAGAGGACACAGCGGAGCCCAAAGGGTGAGAACACTTTTTCCCAGATGGTCCCTGCTTGCTTGTTCCTGCCCAGGAACATAGGAGTAAACTTAGAAAATGTGCCAATGGGATTTAGAACTCTGCTTGTGCATTTGGAAGGGGTTCATGGGGTCTCCTGATAATGCTTGCTAAATTCCAGCAACCATTAATACAACACCTCTTTTTATCCAACAGGGTAAAGGAGGAAACAAAATCAACCTAAGGAGCTGGCAATGCTTGGCCCCTGGTTCCCTGGCTTGATCTCTCTGATAACCTCTTATTCCAGAAGATTTTTATTTTATGTTTCTGTAGATACTTCTATATAAATATATTGGGGACAAGAGGCCCAGCTGGAATTCCTTCCTGCCATTTCCTGGCTGAGCGGCAGGAAGCATTCTGCTCGGGCCACAGTCCTGGTTGGTCTTCGGTGCAGGCTGAGTGGTGCCCCATCTCACGCTCCTGCTGCTGCCTCATTGGGGACAAGTGTGTTTGTTTTCTTTCCTCCTTTAAAATGGTCTCCCATGCACTTCCTCTTCTTCGGAAGCAAGGACTTCCCTTTGCAGAATTCTGTGCTCTGGGGGGTTGTCTTTGTCTTTCCCTTTTCCTTTTCCTTAAATAGTTCCTTGCGGTATGGATACAGCCATAAAACGTTGGGAGAGCTGATGCGGGAGGGTGGAGCTTGGAGATCCAAACGATCACACCCAGGAAAGAATCTGCTCTGTTCCAGGTTACCACAAAGGGATGCTGCTTTCTGGCACCCCAAAGCACAATTGACAAGCGGAAGATCTCTTCACGCCCATTCAGGGATTTAAACTGTTGCTGTGTCCTAGGGAGGGAGTGGACCTTCCGGGTGAGGGGGAAGTGTTGCTGGGGGCGCTCATAAAAGTGAAGTCTCCCGGTCACAATACACCTTTTCTCCGTAGAGGTGAGCACAGGAGCAAACGTGAGCCGGCTCGGGTTCAGCTCCGTGAGTATCAGCTCCCTAAGCAGCCTTTCCCTCACCATCGGCGCAAGAGCCCTTGGCTGGTGCATGCAGCAAACTGGCAAAAGAGGTGACGCTTCAGAAGTGCATCTTTGGAAAAGGCCTAACAAACATTGCCATGTTATTTTATACTTCAGAACAGGGTTAAGGGACAGTTTTGACTAATGAGCTGGAGGGCGGGGTAGAGAGTCCCACTGTGAGGTTGGTCCCAGCGATGCTGCTAACTTAGCCATGTCACTCTTGGGGAGGGGGAGGGAAAAGCTTATTATTTTTTTAAGCCTTTGGCAAGTTCCGTGCAGCTCTTCCTGCTCTTTGATACTTGTACTGGTGAAATTAAAGATCATTGTATTTGTGTGTTTTAGGGGTGGGACAGGGAAGATAAATATATTGTGTTTTTTTTAAAGAAAGATAACTTTTTATTTTCTTTTTTTGGAGAAAAAAAATCTTTGTAATAAAATGGTCTGTTTCTCTGTTTTTGGTGCTGACTTGTTGCTCCTTTTGTGTATTGAAAGTTTGCTTGCGTGCTAAAAGTCTAGATGGTTCATGGTGGGTGTTAATGAAACAATAGTGCTAGATTTTGCTTGGCCTTTGTTTAACATTTGGAGCCAGGGAGGTAGCCCTTAGTCCTACAAACCAAGGGCCGTAGAGAGGGAAGGTGGGAGTCATTTTGGATGGGCAGGAAATGCCCATCCCTTGCAGGTTTTCCAAAGCTTTCATGGCCAGTAATGAATCAGGAAGTCCTGATTGAGTCACCTTTGCTAAGCTGCAAAGGCAGGGGCCTGCAGCCGGATGGGTGACCACATGTGGAAGCAGAGCAGGGGGTTGGACGGCCCCTTCCAGCTGTTCTAAGTCAGTGATTGGAAGCCACCGTCTCCTCCCAACTGCCTCCCCCTCCATCTTGTCTCTTTGCATCTCAGCTTTCCCCTGAGGCATGGCTTTCTGTAGTGTGTGGAGTGGGACTCTGGTAATCTGAGATTCGTGTAGTCCCAACGCCCCCTTGGTGACTTTGGGCCAATTGCAAGCTCGCAGCCCAGCCCGCCTCACAGGGTTGTTGAGAAGATAAGATTGAGAGGAGGAGGAGGAGAGTTATGTAAGCTGCCTTGGAAGGTAAAGGGCAGGGTATGAATAAAATAAATCTGTCTGGGATCATGGCTCCCGAGAAATTAAAACATTCCGTTTCAGCCTCAGCTCTACCACTGGACACAGTGAGAAGTGCTTCCAGCAGTGGCAGCTTGTAAGTGTCACGAAGGGACAGCAGCTTCTTTCATTTATAATTTTACTGCCTGGAAAAGGGGGAAGGCTTGTGGGGCTGGCTGGCTGCAGGACCAAGGCGCCTTTGAGCATGACACGGCTTGGCTTGGCTGGGATGGTGCTGGGGAAGGATGACGGAAGGCGCCCCTTGCTGCTGTGCCTGGCAGGGGTGCCGTTGAGTGGCTCTCCCTCAAAAAGGAGGCGAACTCGGTGACTGGCGGCTCCCACTGGTGGTTCAGGTAGAGGCTCTGCACAGATGCAAGGCAGCCTGCTTGTGAGCACCCGAGGCCAAATAGAGAACAGCGCTTAGACGTTCTGCCAGGCGGTGGTCCTGTGAAAAAGCCAACATGGCGATGGCAGGAGAGGCGCATGTGCTGCCAGCACCGCGAATTCTGGTGCGAGAGACGGGAATCCAGGCTCCAGTGCGCAGCACCGAGTAAAAAGCTGCCACCCGTCGAAGGAGGGCCGCCTTCAAAGGCTTGTGCTGCAGCGTCTTGGGGTGCATTGCACACGCTTCCACTCAGCTCAGTGGTGGGTGCCCAGGTTTGCACGCTGAAGATTCAGGCTCTGCCATCTCTGAACGGGATCAGATAAACCCTCCGACATGTTGGAAAGCCACTGCCAGCCAGACATGACAAGCCTGGGCTTGGTGAGTGAGTAACCAAGCTGCGGCTTCCCTGTGAAACCCACGGCAGAAAGGAGCTGGATGCGAGGCCCCCTCGGCACTGAAGCTCAGCAGGGCCAGGGCCCAGCACCCGGCTTGCTTTTCTTGCTGGGCTCGAGGAGGAGGGGGGAGAGCCTTCTAAGTCTTGGTTTCCTTGCAAGAGGAGAAAAACAGAGATCTAGACATAACATTAGGACGATGGATGGATGGATGGCTACCCTTGAGCTGGCTACCGGCTCTGCTGGCGCACTCCCTGAGCCCCCAGTTTTGACACTTCCCCACAACTGGGGAATGTCTGGATCAGCGCATCACACATGGTCGTGTGGGGCTGCTTTTGAGGGCCCTTTGGCAAATCCAACCAGCACGGAATACAGCCGCTACAGTCTCAACCAGGGCTTGGCAATTTAAGCAGGCATCGGTGCCTTGGAGTACTTGCACTGGTTATTTATTTATTTATTTATTTATTTTTCAATTTATATCCTGCCTTTTTCCTACAAAGGGCTCAAGGCAGCTTACATCATTCTCCTCCTCCATCTTACCCTCACAACAACAACCCTGTGAGGTAGGTTGGGCTGAGAGTCTGTGACTGGCCCAAAGCCACCCAGTTGGCTCCATGGCTGAGCGGGGACTCGAACCCACATCGTCTGAGTCCCAGTCCCATGCTCTTAACCACTACACCACACTGGCTCTCTAGCAGTTGTTTCTGGGTACAGTTTAAGGTGTTGTGCATGAAGCTCTCTGAATGGCTTGGGATTTTAAGGGCTGCCTGCTCTCACATGAGGCCGACTGTCTCCAGCTCTACTGAGACCAACTCTGGGTAATTGGCTGCAAAGCTCCAAATGCCCCCCTCCATGTGAGGGCCAACCCTTCAAGAAGTTCTGCAGCACTTTCGGGACCCCCACCCCTGCCTTCATCTTCCCACTTGTTGCTGGGAAAGGCCAGTGGTGACTTTAGTCCTGTCCTCTTCTCTCTGCCACCACATTTTATAGCTAAGGCAGAGGAGCTGGGCTTTTCTCATGGTTGCGTTTGGATGCTAGAATGCCCTCCCTTCTTTTGCCAAGCACTAATGTTAAATTTTAGGAACCACAAAAATGTCCTTGGTTCAGGCTTTTGGCTTTTCTGCTTGGTTTCTTTTCTGGTGGATGGGGACAGTTAACGTTTAATTGTTCAATTGCGAACGGAGTGCGTGGGAAGACGCCGGGGCACGCACATCTAGGTGTGCGCTGCAGCCTGGTGAAGCAGAGTGGCAAGATAGCAACATTTTTAAACCACTAAATACTTAAGCCTCTAGAATTTGGGGCGGGGGGCATCTAGGCAGGGGTGTCATCTGCAGGGGCTCATGCGTCTTGACTGCCCCTTTCCTGTCGATCTGTGGCTCTCAGCCTCACGCAGCTGGATCAGGCGTGGCATCTGCTGCTTTCTAGGAACTGGGGAACAGCTTTTAAGGTCCAGCAGCAGCATGGGGCCTCTTTGCCTTTACTAACCGAAGAAGAGACTGAAACTGAAGAGAGGTGCCCTGGCAGCTGAGGCTCTCACTGCAGCGCAGGGCAGCTGCTCGGGCTTGCACGATCTGTTTCAATTCTGCCTGGAACTGGGCAGCAACCTGCCAATTGTGGGTGTTTTGCCCTCACTGAATTTGGTGCTCTGAAGCTAAAAGTGGCCCTGACTCCCTGAAGCTACAACCTGGTGCTGAAAAGAGGCGCAGCAGGACATGGACTAGGATCTGCAGAGCAGGGGCCGTCGGGATTCTGTGATCCGTCCCTTTCACAGAGAAAGGGAACCTGGCTTCCCGCTGCCCCAGTGTTCTCTCGGTAGCCTAAATGGAGGCGAGAAGTTTTTAGTTGCTGCTCTTGTGGCGACAGATAGGAGCCAATTCGCCCGTAGATCTCAGCCCACCTTATTTGCCCACCCTGAGCCTGCCTGTCTCTCAGAGCTTGCCTCTGGAATCTGGGAGCCACGCAAGCAGCCTTTCCTTGAGCTGCACGGGTTTCAGCCTCTTGGCAAAAACTTAGGCTTTCCCGGCTCACATCAGAAGGGGCCTTTTGGCTCTTCTGAAGGCGGGGGGGGGGGGGAGTCCTCTCACACCTTTGCCCAGCCTCAACTGATTGGTGCCCTCCCACAGGTTCCGGCACCCGAGCAGTGGCCTGGTGGAACGACGTGTTGCTACTGCAAGGTGGCTTGGAAAGACTTTCTCTGTAGGGAGCCTCTGAGGTACATGCTGCCTTTGGGCATGCCCAAGAGGCCAGGCCACTGCCCCAAGGCCCAGAACAGGGAAAGCTGGACCTAGGAAAGGGTGGGAGGTGGAGGATGCAGCCGTGGGGAAGCCGGCTGACGAGGGCAGCTGCTGGCCCTTTGCTGAAGATATGAAAGAGGTCAACCACGCAGTTAGTTTTCCGCACTGGCTCCCAGTCTGTTGGATCCAAGGAGCAGCTCTTGCCTTTGGTGCTAGCTGTGCAGGGCTTGGCGCCAGGTAAATGCTGAGATTGCTTCTCTCTTGGGCACCCACAGCAGGGCTTGCACTGACGTGCCGTCCCAGCCGTTCCACACTGGGGAGCCGGGGGTTGGGGGGATGGCTCTGATGCTTATTTACTCAGGCTTGCCCAGGAGCTCTCTGTCTTTTCAGCCTTTTTATTTCAGAGGTGGTCACACTCACAATGCTTTGAGGTTCCCCTCTTAAGCATGACTTAAATCTGGGCCCAGCCATTTTGGAAGGGGTTGCCTGAAATAGCTTTATCAGATACCACTGGGCTAGATGGTGTTGTCTCCTGGATTGTCCCCTCGGGGTCAACCTCCCAGAGGGAAGTCAGTCGCTGCCCCACCTTGCCATCCTGGAGTGAAAGGGGCAGGCTTCAGCAGCGCTTGGCCTGCCACATGGGGGCAGGTCCTGCGGGGAAGGCCAAGCGAGGCCCATGCGGCGGATGGTCCCCTTCCAGCTTCCCGGGTGCAGCCAGGGGGCAGCGCTGCAAGGCCTGGCCTGAAACCCACACCCTCACCCTCGTGATGCAGCAGGATGCGCACTGCCCAAACACGCCCACCCCCCTCCCCTCCCCCACCCCGGCTGGAGTCTGGGATGAAGGTTGAGCCAACAAATACTGGCAAAGGTTGGGCAACCACTCTAACCATGCTGCAGGCCCACAAGGCGGGTGGCGGCTCTGCTGGGGGGTGACTGGAGAGCATTAGCTGGTGCAGAAGCAGCTATGAGGCAACCGGCTGGTCACCCCAAATGCCAGAAGTTGCATCCAGTCCAGATCCACCAGTCCTGGTTGAGTGTGAATCACACCGTTTTGATTACAGTTTGAAGCAATGGCTGGTGGTCCTGAACGAGCCAGAAGGGTGCTTCCCGTTCTTACTGCTATTAAAACACGAATCCTATAGGCATCTAAGCCTAACGTTCGTTCCGGTTTAGGGAGGGCGGATCTTAGTAAAACATCAAACTAGAGAATACAAATAAGGGGGTTTGATCCTGGTTCAGTTCTACTTCCTGTCAACACTTTTAGTGGGACTACTTGAAGTAGTACTGAATCTGGACCCAACCATTTCATCTTTTTAAAGCGGTACCGATAAAATTTGGGAGTTGGTTAGCCATGATGCATTCTCTCTGGGCCTTTCTACCTTGCAGCTCAAGGTGTTTGGAAATGAGGTCGTTGTTTAATTTATATAATTTCTATACTGCCCAACAGCCGAAGCTCTCTGGGCAGTTCGCAACACAGGGAGGCGGCCCTGGGGGCAGTGTGTCTCTCTGTGCCTGCACTGCTCCAGAGGGCAAGGCCTGGAAGGCGCGAGGCATGAAATGTAGCCCATCCCAACATATTTGGAAAAAGTTGGGAGGAAACGTGTACACACCTTGTAGCAAAGACAAAACTCTCCCAGGTGGGCAGGACAGGCCTGGAGGAGACCAGGAGAGAAGAACCGAGGGACAGGAGGGCAAATGTGCCACAAACCAGGGGGTGGCAGCTCACGGACTCCTCGAATAGTAGGGTCAAAGGGTCCATGAAGGCCACTGGGTCGCAGCCCCTGCTGTGGCGGGACACCACGTCACACCATCCCAGTTCTGGCCAGCAAGCCCCACCTCTCCCACTCTCTCCCACGAGTGGCTGCTCCTCTCCAAAGACCAGACGCACCGCAAAAGAGCCTGCTCCGCACAGGACAGCTGCGAAGGCTGATGAAGCTGCAAGCGGCTCAGATCCCTGCATGGACCCACACGGGAAAAGTCGCAGGCCCCACAGCCGGGGCTTGCTGAGAGCACCCCCCCAGCCCCCCTAGGCAAGAAAAGCAGGACTTCCCTTGCACGCTGTAGCAATTCAGCCTGCTGGGAGGATGCGAGATGGCTGCCGCACATCCCTGGCCAGATCACGGCCCGGGGGTGGCTTCTCTGCCACTGCGCTGCCGCCTCCCAGAGCAATTTCAAGACTGGCAGCAAGCGCCTCGCCTGGCCCATCAGAGGGACCCTGCTCCGCAGCCCCATCCAGACCCAGCACCTTCATGGCTGCTGCCCGCCAAGCAGCCAGCTGGCCGCCTCATCTCAGGTGCGGAGACATCTGGGTGCGGCCGGCCCACCGTGGGCCTGGCAGAGCCAGTACTTACTCAGCACAATGGGGGCGCTCAGATTTATGCAGGGGGAGACAGATGAGGTATCCAATGTATGCTTCATTCGAGGGAGCTGTAGGGAAAGACGACCCGGCAAGGGCTTTCAACGGAGCTGGGTCCTTCCGCAGGTGCTCACCGCAACAAGTTGCTCCAAAGGCGCTGCCATTCCCAGCTCATGGAAGCCTTGCGGGATGGAGAAGCCCTCATTTCCCGAGCGATGTCACTGTGGGGAGGCCAACTGTGCCTGGAACAGCCCATCCTGGCTAACTTGGGACCACAACCCCCAGCATCTGATCGGCCACGCTAGCTAGGACTGGGGGCACCCAGTTGGGGAGGTCACCCAAGGCAGAGGCACTGCGAGTGCTACCAACGAGCCTCCAGCTCACTCAACAACACGGGACAGAGCCAGGCGTTCACTGCCAAGTCCTGTTGCTCTTGGGCCCAAATCTGGAGGCACACCCATGGTGGTGCGATGGTGCTCAAGGCTGCTGGCGAGCGGCTGCATTTGCACGCTGCAGCCTGTAGAAAAGATGGAAGTTCCCAAGTTAGCTGCTGCTGCTGCTGCACACGTCAGACATCCAAAATCCTCACCCTGCCACAGGGCCCATGTTGCTAACAGCATCAGTGCAGGCGAGTGTCTAGCCCATCTTAATGCACAGCACTCTTAATTTTGGACACATGAAGCAAGAATACATCTAGATGGCTCCTTCCCTGACAAAATCATAGTTCCGGCAGATGCTCCAGCATGGCTGTGTGGAGGGAGATCCAGGAATGCAGCTCTTAAGAATTTTATTTCACCACCTGGACATTCACTGCCCCCAATATTGCATTCCCTGAATTAAAAAGGGCCCAAGTCCAATGATAAAGGGGGGTCACCATTTATTCCTTTCAAATGTTACAATAAGACCCATACAACCTTTATTTAAGAGTTAGAAAATCGCAGATCAGAAGTTGGGTCATTAAAAAATTATTTACAAAGACAAGAAAACAAAAATGGAAGTCACAGCATACAGCCAGCACTCTCCCAACCTCATCTCCCACCCCCACCCACCATGTGCCCACCCCCCCAAAATAAACCCAAGATCTTCTCCCTCTGAAGTCAAATTAAACACAGTGGACTCACAAGCTTTATGGTTTAAAGCCAGGAGCAAGACATTGTAAAAAACTAACCAGATTAGCTTTTAAACGGTTGGTTTGTATAAAAAGCACAAAATACTTTTAAATGAAGTCAGAACCCGGAATGTAAACTGAGAGATAAAAGAATATCCGTTTTGAAGAACGGTCAATTGCTGGTTTATTGGACTTTTTGAAAAAAAGCTGCTTTGAGGATTAGTAGAAATAGAAGATCTGAGAGACCAGAACTTGGTGTTAATATTTGGAGTCTCATTAAACTGACCAAGTTCCAGTTTCTGTCCAGGAACAAGATTCCTGCATAGCTTTAAGGAGGACTTAGGAAGGCCTGCTCCGAGCGGTGGCCGTGGCTGCGGTGAGGACCCAGTGTCCAGGTGGCGGCTCCCGCGTCTTTCCTGAACCGCATCACGGGGAAGGGCAACCCTGGAGTGAAAAAGCGTGTCAGTTCAGCAATAAACTGGGGGCGGGGGAGGAGATGGTGTCTGTGGCTCTGTGTGCGCATGCCAGGCAGCAGGTCCGTGGGGTTCCCGGGAGGAGGAGGATGGCACAAAAAGTTCACTCTGCAAGGCAGGCGGCCTCGGGCAGGTCCTACTCTTCCTTCTGCTCGGCAGCCCCAGGTGTGGGGCTGGGCTCTGCCTCGGTGGCTTTGGATGCCTCCTCGGGCTTTGCGTCCTCCTGGCTGCCGCTGGCCGGGGCCTGCTGCTGCTGTTGCTGCTCCTCCTCCACTCGCCCCTCGTCCCCCTCCTCCCGCTTGACTGCCGCTTCTTGCTGACCCTCCTCTGGAGCTGTGGCCGCTGCGCCAAGTGGGGCGGCCGGCTTTCCTTCAGGGGTTTCCTCTTTGGTCATGCCAGCCTGCTCCGACTCCTCTGTGGCGCAAGCGGGATTCTCCTCGCCCTTGGCCTCCGCTTTCACTGGCTCCTCACTGGGAGAGGACGCAGCAGAGGTGTCCCCTGCCTCCTTCTTGGCCTTCCGGAAGGAGATGCCGCTCAGCTTGAAGGGCTTCTTGAACGAGAACTTCTTCTTCTTCTTCGGGGTCTCCTTGGAAGCCGCAGCGCCAGGAGCTCCCTCGGACTGGGCCTCTCCACCTTCAGCCACGGGCGCAGGCTCGATGGCGTCGCCACCACCCGCCTCAGCCGTGGCCTCCTGCTGAACTGGCTCCGCCGATCCGTTGCCATTGAGGGAACTGGCCTCTCCATCAGCTTTTGGTGACACATCCCCATTTATTTTCACATGGCCATTCTCCTGCTGAAAGAAACAGAATGCGCCGTTACTGCACTTGCTCGGTTTCCCTTGAAACTGTTTTCAGACCCATTTGTCTGTCATACATCCTTGGATCCAGCCTACTAGCTAAGTTTCTTCCCCTTGTTCCTACTGAAAAACATGTATGCACCAGCACCTAAACAAACGAATCGGGATAATGCATATCCCTTTTTGATCGTCTCTCCCATTTTACAATTTTCCAGCACAAGTTTGAACAAGAGGAACCAGAGAACTGTGAGTCGTTTGCTGCTAAGGCAGTGTGTATGTCACCGGCCAATCCCACATGCTCTCGTTCGGGGGCAACTCCCACCGACTCAGTCAACGCAACATGCTTGCGATCTGGCTGCAAACACCAACGATTTCAACCAAGGGTTCACTTCCACTATCCGCAGGCTACACCTGGCAGCAGTATGAACCTGTTACTCCTCTTGCCTACCCCGTCGCGCAAAGGAAGCGGCCGATCCAAAGCTCTCCGTCCGAGCGCGGCTTCCTCCCATCCGGCCAGCCACGGCAGGGACGGCGCCCCGTCCCACTCGGCCACACGGGGGCGCCGACACGCCAACAGCGTCTCCCGGCGCAGGGCGGTCCCCTGGGCGCAGGCAGCCAACAATGCGCTCCGCGAGCCGTTACCGCCCGCGCACGGAGGTGGTGCGGCCAGCTAGGGCTCCCCACAGGCACGAAAAGAGGCCCCCGCGGTGGGCGACCGGCTACAGCCCCTCTTCCCTGTGCAGGAAGCTCCTACTGGATTTTCCCGTCCGACAGGCGGAGCTGGCGAGAAACCGGGGCGAGGCGCGAGAAATCCGTTCGCAAGCACTCCCCCACTTCAGCGAGCACGCGCGGGGGGCTGACCCCCCCCGCGGGCTGGAGCGACGCTTTCCTCCCCGCCCAGCACTGCACCAAGATCGCGGCCCAGATCCAGTCGACCGTTTCGATGCACGAGACGGCGGGGCGGGGCGCGGCGCGGCGCGGCGCGGCGGGGGGTTCTGTACCGACTGGGCCGCTTCGAAATACACGCGCCCCGTGTCGGTTTCTGATTGCAGGGAAGGGCGGCGGCTCTTTTCTTTACATTCGCTTAGCTCCCCCTCGACTCACACGTGCTAAGCACGGCTGAGCGACCGCGCCCCCCTCCGCTTCAGGCATCCCCCAGGGGGCAGCGCTTTTGCGCCCCTCGCTCGAGGAATGCGGCGCGACGCAGCCCGCTCCGCCGGATCCGTCCTTTGTTTCCTCTGCAAGCCGCCCCGCCGCCGCGGGAGGGAGGGAGGGAGCGTGGGGGAGAAGGGGTCTCCGCCACTTCCGCCGATGAGGGGCGCCAAACAAAGGCGAGGAGGAGCGCCCATTCACACGAGCGGCCGCAGAGAAAAGCCGCACTCGCGCAAGCGGGAGGGAACGCGACAGGTCGCGAACAAAGGAGGCAGGCGAGCTCCGCAGCTGCAGACACCGCCGCCGCCGCCGCCTGCAAAGCGCACACGCGGCCAGAGTCGGGCGCGGCCAGAAAGGCGACCCCCCCACCTCGTCCAGCCTGCCCCACCAAGGCGGCGGCGGGCGGCCTCAGCAAGAGCCGCGGCTGCCCCCCTCCGCCGGCGGCCCCACCGCCGGGGAAAGGGACCCACCTGGCCGTTGGACTTGGAGGGCGAGGCGTCGCCGGCGGCGGCCTCCTGGGCGATCACGTCCCCCTTGCCGGCCTTGGAGCTGTGGCTTCCCATGCTGCGCCCCGGGCGAGCGGCTCACGTCCAACACGGAGGGCGGGGGGGGGCGTGCGCGAGGCGATCCTAGGGCGGGGGCCCCGCCGCCTCGAGGGAGCTGCTGGCCAAGGCCAAGGCCACGCTCGAAAGGCGAGGCGTCGTCGGGGGGCGCTGTCGCTGGACGGGTCCGGCCCGGCACCGCGCTGCCTCACGCCGCCCTGCCAAACGCGCCGCGCGCCGCCGGACTGAGCGGGCGCGCCGGAGTGCAGCCTAATAAGGCGCCGAGGCGGGGGCGGGGCCGGCCATTTAAACCCCCGCCCAATGGGAGGCAGGGCCTGGCCTGGGCTGGGCCGGGCCGGGGGCTCCCCCTCGTCCCTCGTCCCTCCCCGCCAGGGCCCAAGTCCAGCGGCCCGGGCGGGGGCTGGCCCGGCCCGGCCCGGGCGGGGGTCGCTGGGGAAAGCTCGGGACGCGGCGCACTGTCGATGTTTTTGCCTCCCCGGCAGGAGCACATGCAGAGTGCGTTTCTTTCTCCGCGGCTGCTTGCCTTTGCTGCGCTTTCATCGGGATTTAGGTGATACCTCGCAGCCGCCGCGTCCTATGCAGGACTTTTACTCGGGAGTAAATCGCTTTTGTTGGGCGGGGCCCGCTCGCAGGTAAGGGTGCATGAAGCTTGCGGTGCGAGTCTCCTGGCGTGGGCCTTCTGCAGGATCGGCGCCGTCCCAGACGTGCTCACCAAGGAGCGGGTGCTGCGGATTCCAGTTGGCCTTACTCCCAGGAAAGGATCCACAGGATACGGCATAAGCGTGCGTCCTGTGCCTGGGGGCTTCCACAGAGCACCCGCCGAGTCCACTGGGGCTCCCTTCCCAGCACATACAACTGCAGCCAAAGCGACCATCAACTCTAATTTAAACCTCTGAAATATTCCAAGTGCAAAACCACTAATGTCATCAACCAAAATATGGCAGTGTGATTTTTTAAGAACCTGTTTTTGTTTCGATTGGCCTTTGGGTGCTTCCTGAGGGCTCCCATCCGGAGGCCTCGTTTGCTTTAGATTTCCCTTGGTAAGAGAAACGATAGAAGTTGAGGGAAGATACTGGGGGGGGGGGCAATCAGGGGGAGAGGGTGATGCCTGAACCCCACAGTGTTTCAGGAAGGAGGCCTGGCGCCAGTGCTTGAAAAGCCTCACCAGGAAGGCTCCCGGGGCCTGAGAGTTGTCCTCCTGGAGGGGCTTGGCTTGCCAGGTGCAGCGATGTTCTTGTGAACAGGCCCCTCCCGCAGGAAGGCAGCGGTCGAGCAGAAAGTCCCAGTGCCGCCCAGGCAGGGCAGGGCTGCCAGAAGCCCCGTCAGCCTGCATTAGCCTTTCCAACATATCCCCAGATGTATTGGCCTACAACTCCCATCATCCCCATCCAGCATAGGGTAATCCACCTCTGGAGGGTAACAGTGGGGTGGCCACTGTAGCCAGTGAGTCAGTTATCAGCCCAGTAGTGGAGCACCAGGGAAGGAATTTTAATAATATCAATAATGTTAATAATAAGCTTACACAGTCACTTTTCCTTCCGTCCGTCCGTCCTTCCTTCCTTCCTTCCTTCCTTCTTCTTTTTCTTTAGTTATGAATTGTTGCTTATGCTGTGTTATTATTGAATGTTTTAATTGTATTTTAACCAGTAGGTATGGGGATTTCTGCCCCCTGACCCAGGAGTACACCTTGGAGAGCAGGGCTCAGGTGGGACACGGCCCTGCGGGCTTCCAAGCTTACACAGTCACTTTTCCTTCCGTCCGTCCGTCCTTCCTTCCTTCCTTCCTTCCTTCTTCTTTTTCTTTAGTTATGAATTGTTGCTTATGCTGTGTTATTATTGAATGTTTTAATTGTATTTTAACCAGTAGGTATGGGGATTTCTGCCCCCTGACCCAGGAGTACACCTTGGAGAGCAGGGCTCAGGTGGGACACGGCCCTGCGGGCTTCCAGTCATGAGCAGCACTGGTGGCCCCCTGCCTTCTCCGCTGCACCATTCCGGCTGCAGCCCAGCCTTCTCCTGGTCCAGGCCTGCGAGTGGCGGAACAACATGTCTGACGCAGATGCCCTGCCACTGATATGCCCGGCCGGCTGGGCCAAGGAGCCAGTTCTTCTTGTAGGCTGAGGACAGTGGCTCTGCTCCGCTTGCCGGTGGGGCAGAAGCTCCGTCCTGGGGGGACATGATGGGTGGACGTGTTCAAACGGAGCGCGAGGTGGCCTTCCTGATAATGGCGGAGCCCAAGTGCTCATCCGTTGGAGGGAGATTCAGGGTGCATAAAAGGAAGGTGTTTTTCATGCAGCACACAGCTGACCGAAGGCGTTCTAATGATGGCCACCGGTCTAACCGCAGAAGGGACACACTTTTCGAGAAGGCTGACAATGACTGCCAGTCCTGATGGCCAAGTACTGCCAGAGTCCACGTGCCCCAGGTGCCAGGGAGCCAGGACGGAAAGTCCTGTGGCACTCTTGACTCCCCTTGGCCACCGAGCACACTGAACGCTGGACCCTTGTCTCCTCCAGCCCGGCTCTTCTAATGTCCTTGTCTTCATCCAGGGTCAAAATGGCATGAAAATGACTGGAGACCAGGGAAGCCCGGATACTGAGCTGATGCTGGTCCAGTTGCCAACCCTCACCTACCTCACAGGCTTGCCTGGGGGTAAGCTGTTTGAGCAGAGGGTGGGGGACCCTGTCAGGGAGTCTAGATGGAGCGTCAGTGACTGGCCAGAGTCACCCAGGGAGCTTCAGGGCATCCACATGTATCCTATTTTTAAAAAGACTTCCCACCTTTCCGTGTAAAAGCCATGACAAATACAATCTAGCTGCAGCATCCAAAGGTTTCGAGGTTATAGTGCAATTTTTTGCATGCCAACTCGGGAGTCAGTGCTACTGAGGTTAATGGGACTTGCTCCCAGAGAAGCATACAGGCGATTGCGGCTTATCTAGCCTTTAGAAGGATTAGAAAAATTCCTGGAGGGTCTCTAGCTTCATCATTCTGGGACAAACAGGGTAAGAGCCACCTGCTGTGTGCCCTGCCTTACCGGGGCCTCTGACTGGCTGCCCTTGGGAGCGTCCTGCTGAGCTGAGGGGACTTGAGCCTTTGTCCAGCAAAGCCATTGTTGGGCCCCTGTTAGACTTTCTTGGCATTCTGTGCTGGGCCTCTGAAAAGTTGCTAAGAATTCACACGTTTTTGCATGATGATCAACCCAGCTGTATGACCTTCAATAAAGAATGTGCGCTGTTCTATTTTCTACCCCAGAATGTGTGAAAAGTACAGAGCTTAGTGGGAGTTTTAGGCCTGGTTTGGAGAAGACAAGGGGACGTGACCTAATCACAGTTCAGTTGCTTGACTTCTTGGTGGAAGCTGAGTCAAGCTCGCATGCATCCCAAGCACTGTTGTGCACATTGCAACACAACATCCTGCCTCCCGGGCGAGTGGCGATTCAGGGGCAAAACATCTTAGTGGGGAGAGCTGGCGATCAGTTGCTCTTCTGGCCTCCAACCACATCGCTTTCTCCTTTGGAAGACTTCCTCCGTGGCCACTGCCATGTAAACCTTCCCAGGATCAAGGCCAGCCTATGAAACAGCAAACAATTAACTGTTGGTGTGCTTGATTCAATCCCGAGGTCATATTTTGTCTCCCTTGCTGGAATAAACCCATCTGTGTCCATTAAATTGTTCCTCTCATCATTGCTATAGACTTGTCTCTAGGGTCTTTCCCCAATTGCTCTGCATTGCTGTCAGAGGGGCCCACTCAAAACTTGCTATCCCTGGAGGGCAAGGATGCTTTAGGTGCCACACCAGCACCTGGGACATGGCGTCCGGCCACGAAGCCCCCTCCTCCAGGCCATTGGGCGTTTGGGGCATACGATGGGCTCACCTGCTAGCTCTGCTGGCGTGTGCACCGCAGGACCGAGGCTGTGTTTGGAACAGCCCACGAGGGCTGGGGCCCTGGATCTTTCCTTTGGGCCCCGGTTCCCTGGGAGGCATGCTGGGCCGGGGGCACGCGCCCAGGGAAGAGAGCAGGGGATCTCTGTCACACCCAGGCTATTGCCCACATGTGCTTCTGCTGCCCCCCAGCCTTAGAATCATAGAGTAGTAGAGTTGGAAGAGGCCATGAAGGCCACCAGGTCCAGCCCCCCCACAAGCTCCAACCAAGTCACACCCTCCCACTGAGATGGCTGCCCTGTTTCACCTTGAATGTCTCCAGGGTGGGAGAGCCCCCCCACCTCTCTCTGCAGGTGGTTCCACTGCCGCATTGCTCTGACGGTGAGGAAGCTTTCCCTGATGTCCAGCCTGAACCCGGGTTGTCGCAACTTGACCTGTTTATTCCGTGTCCTGCACTCTGGCATCAGCCAGAAGAGATCTCGACCTTCCTCTTTGGGGCAGCCTTTGAGGTGCTTAGAGAGGGATTATCTTCCTGCTTGAATTTGACTCAGTGTTGCTGCTTCCTTGCTGGCTGGCTGTGCTGAGAACTCTCCTCAAGCTCTCCAAGGATCAGCTGCACCCCGTGTGTCCCGAGGCTCAGAAGGGGGGCGTCTGTGAGGCTGGGCATGAGATGGGAGAAGAAGCGGGATGTGCGAGGGGAGGCCAGAGAGGACTGGGAGGGCGGGTGACGTGGGCAGGCAGACTTCCCTTCGGCTGCCCTGGCCCTGGCCTTGGCCTGGGCTGCTGCAGCAAGAGTTCGTCTGGTCAGTTCCTGCCTCGTCTCCGGCCCTGAAGAGCTGGGGCTCCGGTTTTGGCTCCATGTAGGCAGAGGGCCCTTTCCACGTCTTTGTCTCCTCGCTGTTTCCATGGCAGCCAACACGTAGGACCACTGGGATGGCTGGAGGAGAAGACGCACCTGGGCAAGGCCACCTTCCAGCCTGGCACAGTGGCTGGGCGAGGCCAGGGGCAACCCGGGTTCACATCCCTGCTCTCCCAGGAAGCTCGTGGTTTCACTCGTGCTGTCGTCATCTCTCAGCCTGAGCCTGTTCTACCTCCCAGCGTTGTTGGGAGGAGGGAGGGAGAAGGCTTTGCCA